AAAAACATACTTATTCAATAATAAAATAGAAACATAACTACGTTACTTATGTTTAATTTATCGGAAAAAAAAATTAATTAAATTTGATTACAAAAAAAAAAAAAACCAATCATTCGTTTTTAACTATATGATTAGTTATGAAAAGTATAAAAATAAATATTCGAGTTTAAATATATAAAGTATATATTAATATTATATAATATAATTAATATATATTTATAATTTTATAAGCACGTAGTTACAATGGAAACTAAAATAGTTGAGCTAATTATAATTAACGAAAAAAATTATATTAAGTTGAGTTAAATATAATTTTAAAAAAAATTAACGTTTGAAATTGTTATAATTTTTCCAGCGCAAAATCAAATATATTAAACAGTGGTTGAAATTCCATTACACGGTTGTCATTATCCAAATATATTTAAATTATTCTTTGTATATCCATTTTAAAAACTACGCACCGAAAGAAGTGATAATTGTATGCCCATTCATTATAATAATAGGTATTATGTTTATTTGTTTTTATATTAATATAATCATTTTTATTATCATTCTAAAATATAAGACCGTTTTATGAAGGGGCGATGGCTACAATTGTCCTGGGACGCCTCATATTGGTAAAATAATAGGATATCCAAGTATTAATTAACAATTACAACGCATTCATTTTTTCATAAATTTTTTTTTATTTTTATACATACATTTTTTTATTTGTATATTTATTCTCTATATTTAATGAATAATTATTATAAAAAATAAAAAATGAAAATTTTACATAATCACGATGTAATCTCCAGCAATCAGTTATCAGTATACTATGATAGGTAACTGACAGAAATACAGAGTTCTAAATTATATAGGTATACACTATACATGAATATTATACTATAGTTATTGCTATAAGTGACAACAGTTGTATAGAAAAAAAAAAAAAAATAATAATAATTATATTTTTTTATTAATAAAAGCAAAATGAAAAAAAAATTCTGAAAAAGATCCCGGAGAAGTTTTATTAAACAAATGCAGTGTGGGTTTAACACAGAAAAACAGTCTGGGTTTGTGCTTTTTCATGCTAACCCTGACTTGATGTTTTAACACTAGTAAAAAATTAAAAATATAGCAGCGTAAGAGGATATCAAAATAGTATACTGTTGTGAGTTTGTGATAACACAGCCAATGCATCTAAGTGTAATTCTAGTGAAAAGGGGTGGATTTTAATGATCAAATTTTAAGTTACCTTAACTTTTCTTTTACTTATGAATATCTAAAATACACATTGTATGCAATTTAGTAATTATTATAACAGTATCTAATATATAATATTTAGACTTGGAGTATGTCAAATCCAATTGCCGGCAAACTTGTCTAGTTTTTAATAATACCTATCAATAACGTAACAAAAGACACGGCCCAAGGAGTCAGGTGGGACTTGATATCCCTGTCACTTGTAATTTTCACTGAATTCATGCTGTTGTAATACCCTCCAACACTGCTATTTAACCCCCTGATACGGGAGGAACACACAATAACCTATGGTAAAATACTATAGTTTCATCAATAATCTTCGGTTATCTACTTGAGATACCGTGTAATACAATCAGATCTATTAAATTAAATTATAATTGTATCGTTTATGAACGTTTATGATACTAATACGGTTTAATAGTCTTGTTGGGTTAGATGACTAAGGCGTTGTTAAAAAAAAAGTTTGGATGGGGGGGGGGGTAGTTAAATAAATAATTTCTTTATAATAATATAATATACTATTCAGCGTGTCCGATCGCGTATTCCAGATTCGTATAGAGCTGTTAATATTCAATTAATTTTAATTTTTTTTTTTGTTGCAATCTATTCATATTTGAAGAAGGACATTTACTTTAAAGAAAAAATTAAATTTTTAGTTTCATCCCATAATCACCAACCAAAAATAACTATTTATTTGTTAACTTTTCAACATGTTCAAAATGGCCTTTTCACAAAAGGTATTTGTCTAAACATTTTAATATACTTGCATATCCAATAAAATAATGTCTTAGTATAAACAGTTTTAATATCTAGATAATTGGTGTGGAAATAATTCATTTTCAATAGAATTACATGTCACCCAATAAAGAATTTAAATCAGCAAAGTAATTCCTTATGTTTTATAAGCTTACCTATCAATTGTGTTCACGCCTATTTTCTAGATAATAAAACGGGTGTAGTTATAATATATAACTAAGAATCTATTGATTGGATATAAATGTATAATAGATGAAATTACATTTTTAGAATTATATCTTTTACAAAGTAGCTATTTTAAAAATTGTGTAAAGAGAATAAATAAAGTTTTTTTTTTACTGATTAAGGGATGATAACAATAAAAATTTAATTTTTTTCTAAACAAATATCCCTCTCAAAAAAAAATAGATTGAAAAAAATTAATTTTGAATAGCTCTATAAAGGTCAGGAGAACATGGTGGAATACCCCGTATATAGAGTCAGTTTGACTAGTGGTTTAACTCGCCTTTATGAAGAAATGGTTGGGAACGCTTATACATTTTTGAATGGAATGCTAAATGGTTTAATACGGCTCTGATAAAATGCATAGTTTTTCGACTGATTTGTATTGTTTTTTTTTTTTGTTCACAGTCGTTAATTCGTATTTCATGTACGTGGTGGATAGTTTTTACCGAAACGAAACAAAGATCATACTCGAAATCGAAAAATATTCACTTTACATTTAATATGTATGTGTCTATACTATCCTGTGGTATCTTAATAATATTAATACTGATGTCTAATATTGTATATTTTAGGGCGGTTTTATTATAATATGTTAACTGCATACAGACAATAGGTATATTGAAATTAAAAGAAAGATCATTTTTTTTTTTTAGTTTATTTTAAGACAGAATTCTTACTACACGTAAAATGAATACTGTTTTAAACTTTTAGTTTACTTTTTTATATTTTCGATTTTTAAATCTTTTTATTCACTTTTTAGGTTATTTTTATAAATTAATTTTATAGAATTTTAAATGTGTGGCTTTTTTTTAGAATTTTTAGTGATTTGTTATATGAGATTACTCATTCAATTCAAAATTCTAGTAATAAATAATATTCTTAAAATAATTTGTTTTCAACTAATTATTATTTTATTTGCTATTATACTAAGTTAGTATCGAAATTTTGCAAGTATTGCAACGATAAAAAAGGACTGCAAACCATAAAACCAAATCTTTCACGTGTATCTATATTCTATATGCTTAATAAATATTGTAAGAAATAAATAATAATAATAATAATATGTACTCGTACAACCGATTTGTAGGTGAGGAGCAGCTGCAAAATCAACAAAATAAACAAGATATTTTCGTCTTTACGTGTGTAGTACAGAAGTTTTCGAATATTGTCAGTCAACATTTTCAGTTGGTTATTGGCCACTCCGTGTAAATTATGTAACACTCCCTCCCGTTGGATCTTTTAAGATATTTACCTCATTACTTGCAAGGCTCACAAAACACAACCTTTTAGCTGTGATGATGTTTATGCCGTTTGTTCCAACGTGTATTTAAATCCTTAATAAATAAACGGCTAATTTCAATAATTCGAATGACAATTAAAACCGACAGCTTATTTCATAAAAACCAACCAACAATATAGAATGCCACTCCTTTTGAAAAATCGTATAATAATAACTTAAAAGATAATATACATACCTACCTACTTACTTATAGCGTGCGTTTGTAATTATGCTTGTGGATATAAATATACCCAACCTATAAACTAGTCATATTCATCCGGAATATTATTTCCTTTGAATAAACGAACGTACGATTACGAGAGTATTTGAAAAATAAAAAAAAAAGCAAAACATTGTTTTTGATAAATGGACTGTGCACGTGAAAAGGCGTTTATTAATAAATACGTCTGTCGTGTACTTTAACGAACCGTACAAACGAAGAGAATTTTTTTTTTTTTAATTGGACTACCACTCGGTCGGTGCTGCAAGAAAAAGCTAGGGGATTTAAAAATAATTGAAACAAAATGTGCACGTGCGGGATGTCAGATACAAGACAATCACACAATAATATTATAACTATATCACGTTTTCAACTGATAAATATCACTATTTAACGAAGTAATTCTAGTTCATTTGCCCACGATACTGACAAAAAAAAAAAAATAATAATAATATTAAACCGTTTTCCGTCAAATCCACCACTTTTTACTGATATTCTTTTATGAAAATGTAAATTTTTCAAAAGTTATTATTATTATTCGAAACGTATTCGTTTGTTAGTTTATAGTTTGTTTTAAGCGCTGCCAATTGAAAATTAAAAACTAAGAACAAACGGCGTTTATGTAAAAGGATTCAAGAAAAAACAGTTTATCGCTCGTGAGTTGGCCACTGCTATAGGCGGGAAGTTGGGAAGATAGGGTACACAAAAAAGTCCAGGTTAAATAGTTCAGTGGGCATAGGTGTACAACGACGAATCACTGCAAACGAAAAACGATAAGAAGAAGAGTTCAGTTAAATATAATTTTACCACATCGATAACCAGCGTGATTTATTTTTTATGAAAAATAACGAAAATGAACGTTTGGAACGGCGAAAAGGTTTGTCACAATATAATATAGGTGTATTTGAATTTGATTAGTAAATAGATGGATGTAATATTAAAATACCCACTTAATCTAATTAGAAGCCCAATGCTCGAATTGGTTAAAAAAAAATGAGGATGGACACGTTGATTTTATTTTATCATTCCATAGCAGTTGCACGTTACAGTAACTCTTATGATGAATTTTTAGAGCCCTAATGAATATATTCATTTAAGAAAATAACCATTTCTTATGCAAAATATATATAAAAAAAAAAACACAAATGTTCAATACATTGAGTCATTCAGCTTATTTTTATAAGATCATACGATTGTTTATAGTATCATTCATTTATATTGAATATAGTACAGTAATAATATACAATTAAGATTTTATAAAAAAATTCAATTGGGCTACTAACTACAACATAGTATAAGCAAAACCATTGCAAAAGAAGTCGGTTTTTGAATACAAAAAGGAATAAATAAATAAAATATGAACAATTCGTTTTTGTCGTTCGAAAAGTGATTAAATTATTTGAAAATTTTAAATTTTAAATTCAGATTTACGTATTATTCAATTTTGGTTTTAATCAACAATTTTATGTCAAATGGTTCATAAACGATCTTTAGTGATGAAATAAGACACGTAAACGTGTTTTTTTTGTCACCTGGTTACTTTTCGAACGACAGGGATGAATAATATTGTTCTACATAATTTTGGAGGGGCTCGTTTTAATATTTTGTAAACATAATAGTGTAGCATAATTTAAGCATTTGAAAAAAAAAAATGCAAAATGAGATTACATGTATTGTAAAAATGGAAAATATTTTCGGTATGTATCATTTTGGAGACATATTGTTTTAAATGGTTCTCGTAGAATACATAATATTTCGTCTTTAGAAAACCGCGAGTCCAGTTTAAAAGGGGAGGGGGTTACGCTACTTCGGGCCACGGATGTAATCAATGGTGATCATTGAGTTGGCCTACGATATTATGTAAATTCTTTCATCGACATTTTCCCATCGAAAATTAAAATAAAGAAAAAAAAAAACCGCGTACAAAAACAATGTTCTTACTTTCTATAATAAGCTAATAATACACTCTAATATTAAAACTAATAGTACAAAACCAGTTTTTAAACACAAAAAGTATACATTTAACGATATTAACAGTAAAATATTATATACCGCGTCCAAACTTCATAGAATAGACATTTATTTTATGGTGTTCGAGCTGAGCTGAATTTCTATTAAATAACATGAGACAGTGCACGGTGACTAGTGGTAGCCGATGTATGGTTTTATCCCGCCACTACCTTTTATTACCGACACCTACTGTCGTCGGTTGTACCGACAGACGAAAATGTATTGGCCCTGAAAAGGGCCGTTTTGAGGCGACGTGTGCTCCGCAACAAACATAGAGCTCTAATAGAAAAACAAATCATCTAACATATTATAGAAAAAATATTCGAAACAAAATATAATTTTTAGGCTATCAAATTGAGAATTATAATTTGATACTGACGTGCCTATAATATTCGGATGTCAATATTACAACAAACCGTGTAGAAGGTATAATTGTAGGTACTCATTTAAAAATCGATTTTTTAATTATTTTGTATGGTTTGATTATAGTTTCTAGATTTAATGAAAAAAAAAAAAACAAGCATTTAACATCAAATTATATCTCCGTTGTGTCTGTCCGTCCGTCCGAAATTACTGGTTAATGATTTATACAGTTTGCATTATTTTAACCGTTTCAACTTTCGTACTCCCCGCTAAAATGTGTTATTAACATCATACAATTTTTATAATTTATATTCTAGATAATCTAGACTAGTCTCATATCTGTTATTTTATTTGAAATAGTTAAAAATATATGTATTATCTTTATGTACCTAAAGATGATATTAGATATATTTTACGCGCGTATCTGGGTCTCAACACCGCATGATATATGAATTCATTCTAGTCAATTACATAAAAGAAAATAATAATTACAATAAAAATAAATAGGTACCAAAATATAAGTATACTTAAAAAGTTTTAAAAATGTCCCGTCAACTATTCGAACTATTTACAAATTAAGATACTTATTTAATTTATTTCGGTCACATAAGTACAATATACCGGGTTATCAAATGTATACAAAATTGTAGACATATCTATCGAATTGTCGTTTCGAATACGTTTATAGAAACCCGGGAACTCGGCACGATCAAAGAGCTTTCCTAACCATTTTAGAAATATACGTACGCGAAAACATAATATTGTAACCAACGTATTTACGGGATAAATGCCGAGCGTGCCAACCGGCGGGGCCAGTTAGAATGGTAAAAACATCGAATGCACGGGTTCAGGAGCCAATTCAATAATGTTATTGTCATTATTATTATGATTTATGATGATCGGCATAGGGGGATAGGAAATAATCGCGAGGGTGGAGAGAAGTTATAAAGAATACGATTATGACTTAAATACGTTAATTCTTTTGGTACTGATCTCCCGAACTCCACTACACAATAAATACAAAATACAGGTGGCCAAAATAAAAATAGATAAATTATATATATAAATAAACAAATCGTAAAAAATTAATACAAAAAAATACTTAGGTGTTTAAAAAAAAAAAAACAAATATTGAAATTATGCAGGTGGCTAAAATTCTGCTATATCCTTTAGCATTTCGTCAAACAGATCGCGCCCGTTTAATTTACTTCGTCCCATAAAAACTCTGCCGAATAAGAATCTAGGACGTTCCTCTTAGTCCCTCTTCGTTTCTTATCACCCCATTTAGCACAGCCTCTCAACATTTAGTGCGCGAGCTTCACTTACGAGACCCAAAAAGTTATGGTGGCAGCGGTTTACTGCTGAGTGATTATAATTAATACGATATAATTTACGATAGTGTAATATATACAAAGAGATACAAGTGGCGGGCGACAACTAGACCTGCTGTGACCTTTCTTTTTTTTTTCCTTTTTTTTTCTGCGCGCGATTTCTAGCGTCAGTTTTGATTTTTTTACAGGAACATCATTCGCCAAAAAAAAAATGAATGCATGTGTCCGAACGCATGATATGATACGGTATTTTTGTCCGGAGTTCCGTCAACGATTTCGTTATTGGTTATCAGACTTGGGTCACGCGATGTTTGGCCGGTATCGTCGTCGACTGGGACGGCAACCGATTGCTGCCTCCGTGACTGTCCGGGTCGGCGGCCATCTCGTCGTCGTCGTCGTCGTAGTCCCGGAGCAAACGGTCCGTCGCCGTGGCCGCTACGTCGTTGACGGCGGCCGGTACGCATACGTCGGCCGTCTGCGTGCAACTGTGTCGCTTGACGCGGGCCGGGACAGATTTCTTGTACAGCATGCATGCCTCTTCGTACGTCGGCAATTGCGACAACTTAGCGACCGACGAGGCCGCGGCCTCGTACTCGTCGTGCGCGGCAGTCCGTCTGCCGCTGCCGCCGCCGTCCGTCCACTCGGAGTCCTGGTGATGATCGCCGTCTTCGTAGTCGTCCAGGCCCTGTATCTGCGTGCAGACCGCCTGCCGGGTCCTCATGTTCTCGTGGGCGGCCACGAATACGACCACCACGGAGGATACGCAAAGGATCAGTACCACGCCGAGCGCGATTGAGATGTTTTTTCGGATTAACGCCCGGCTGAGTAGGTACGCTGAGCTGTTGCACGCCACGTTCCACGGCAAGCCGGTCACGTTGTCCGGGCTCAAGCACACCGGTTCCCGGTAGTCGAAACTGAAAGAATTAAAAAACAAAAAACGTTTACAAAAAATAACGAAGTGCGGACTGATATCCAAAAACAATTTATATGTGAGTAATTTTTCTTAAAATCTAAACGTAATTTTATATTCTGAGCGTGTAGCGAGGAATGTGATGATATCAAAAAAAGAAAAACGCGAATCGTCTATTATTTTCCCGACAGCCGATTATATATTAGTATAATGGGATAAAAGCGCACAAATAAATTGCATTACCCGAAACGATATTGTACCAGTTACATTGTAAGTTTCAGTGTTTAACATAATATTTTGGTCGTTATAATTAGTTTAGTGTGACCATACGTCCCGTTTTAAACGAGATAGTCCCCTTTTTGAACTTCATGTCTCGTTATCCCGATTAACTTCGAACCGGACGCTATTCGTCCCATTTTGAGAATACAGTCTCATTTTAATCTCGATAAAGCCATATTTTTTATACGTGAGTAAAACAAAAAAAACAAACTTATAATACAAATACAGTACGGCGTGACGTTCAAAAAAAGCTTAACATTTGTTTTGCAAAATAATTAAAAACAAAATGACCGGAATGCGGATGAAGATAATTATTTCGACGAGTATAAATATAATATGTATAATATAGACAATGTGATGCATAATAGTTTTAAAGAATGGTGGAATAATATTGTGTTCCGGTCGAAGAAAACTGGTGTAGTATCTATATAATTTTAGAAAAAAAAAACAAAAAAACAAGACTCCTGTGATGATCTTTATGATATTTTTTTTTTTATAACCAAAATTATTACACGAATTCGGTTCATAAAGAATAGAAATAAATACGACAAAAGATTATAAGAGAAAAAACCTAATCGGCATCGACACATTAAACGTAAGAGTATTTTAACAATTTGCTTGAAACTCACAACAAAAAGGAATACGGACAATAAGACGTGTTTGATTAAAATAAAAAAATAAATTGTTAACTGATTAAAAAAAATTTTAATTGTTCTGGTAAAATATAGAAATTGGTAACCGTGACGGTAATTCGGGTAGTTCTGCTGTTTTACTACACGATTCACGAATTAATATGTGTTTCAGTGTGATTTGTTTTAAAAAATTGCTTAACCGTACTCCGCTCAGAATCGTTTTCCCTTAGCAATGATTTATCGTTGCATACAGATATAAATAAAATAATTCTATGTATCTTACCTTCCCAACTTCACACCTACAGCAGTGGCATACCCATCAATTTCGGCTCTAATTTATTTTAAATGTAGGTGTTTAAATGATTTTGGCTGTTTGTTAATATCATGTGTAATTATAACTGCTTTTAGTAACGGTAATTGGAAAATATAAGATTGTATGGGGTATCATAATAAACTATAAACCAAAAAAAATGAATAAAAAAATGACAGCGCATATAAAATATCAAATTGTAACCGTTATAATAAAGTGTTGACCAATATTATTTTTGAAATGTTATCAATTTATTAAAATAAAATCATGGCATTTTATAATATGACAAAAATATAATAATGTTCAACCTAAACCTATTGTACTTCATTGTTGTAGTTATGTTTATCGAATTTTAGAATATACTAATATTTGTATGCAATACCTTCTCTAAATATTAAAATCTCTAAAATTGGTTTTTAATCGTAATATTATCTAATCTAATGCAGCACAAAATTACGCTGCAAATTTGCTAATACGGAGTGATATAGAGTGGAGTGCACTAACTTTTTGACCTGGAAGTTCTCGTTGGTTTTTTCGATCAACGAAGCCATGTACTCAAAGTCAACAGTGAAACAGTCGCACCTCCATGGGTTGTCGTCCAAATAGACGTATTTGAGGTTGGGACACTTGGCGAACGTACCGCTTTTCAACGCAACCAGACGGTTTCCGGTCAACCGCACATCACTGAGGCTGACCGAGTTGACAAACTCGTACGATAGACGCGATATCCGACAGTAACTGAGATCCAACAAGGACAGGAGGGATGAGTTAAGACTGCCAAGTGACAGCGTCTGCAGCGGGTTGAAGGACAGATTAAGCTTGGTGAGACGGTCGAGACGCAAGATGGCATCACGGGGAATCTGGTTGATCAAACAATGGCTGAGATCCAGTTGCTGAAGAGTGCTCGATTTCAAAATGCCGATCGTGGATACCTGGTTGTGCGACAGGTTTAAAATTTCCAACGGTGGCATGTTGGTCTCTATCATGAAGTCCCACGAGATGTCCACGATTTTGTTCGACGACAAGTCCAAGAAGAGCAGCGAAGTCATACCGAAAAACGCAAAGTGATGTACCTGTAAAAGCATATTATAAAAAATATCGGAAATTGAAAATAATTCAAGCGGTCGAAAAAATGTTTTATCGAACGTTTGAGTGATCAAAAATTACATTAGGTATAGAAAATTAAAATTTTCGTTTATGTGAAATAATTTGACACAAATATTATGTAAAATTTAAATTTAAATATTGAGATATGTTTCTTTAAAATTCTTGTACAAATTTAATATTATATTATGTCGGGTAATCGCCAAAGCTATTTATATATTATTAGTTTTTGACCAAAAAACTATTCGAAATTAGAATTCGATTACTTGATCTATATCCACAGTATGGCTTTCGATCAAATACCCTGTTACCGGGCATTGTCACTATACGTACGATTTCCAAGTGATTTTTTGACAGATCCAGAGTGATCAGTTTGGTACTGTTGGCAAACTGATAGGCGGTGAGTTCACGGATCCGGTTGCCGTTGAAAAACGCTCCCTTGAGGTTGGTCATGCCATCCAATTTGGGCCTAAGGACCGAGCACTTGGACGCGTCGAGCGTCTCGAGCATGGACGTTCGTATTATGTTGTTATAGTCCATGTCCAGGTATTCGTTTTGACTGATGTCCAAAACATTCAGTGATTTTAAGCCGACCAGGGCACTATTATTGATGTGGTTCAGCAGGCAGCCACGGACGTTCAATATTTGCAGTGTCTTCGTGTACAGTTGATCTAACCGCTTAAGCGGGTTGTGCGACAAGTCAAGGTACTTGAGCCTTTTGAGTCCACTGAGCACCTCGGGTCCGACTAGCGACTCGATTCGGCACCAGCTTAGGTCAAGTATCTCCAGAAAATCACTGTACAGTATCGAATCATGATCCTGGCTAAGTACAATCATTGGATTGTTCGACAGATTCAGCACCTGGAAATAATCAAAATCAGAGCCTTGGTTTCAGAGCTTTGCAAGAGTGGTCTATGCCAAAAGCATATGTCATAAGAAGGCATAACGTCCAAAATGTATACATAATATAAATAAAAGATTGAATAAAATAAATAGAGGTAGGTGCAATAATCATCTTATTGATTTTTAGTGGAGTAGCCTCAATTCGGTGATATCGTTTATTTGAGGCTGCTTTAAATATCCCTGAGCGCCACCACTATTATTATTGGATAATAGATCCCATTTTTAAGGATTGAAAATCGTCCAATTTTGCTTTCATAAATATATAGTGATTTTTACTGTTGATAACAACAGTAACATTATTTATAATTGTAACATTATTTATAATTAAAAAAAATTAATATTAATAATTGCATTATCTAGGTTTTAAAGATACATATTTACACAAAAAAAAAAAAAAATAAATAAGGGTGATTGACATAATCAGTATATAAATTTAAATTGTATCGATAATAATCATCGGTAAGTAATACACAATTATAATTGTAGAGATTAGACATTTTCCTAACCTTTATCTAATAAGTACTTTTGTTGCTTGGATTTTGTTGTTCAATCTCGTCCCACGACACTGCACTATGTTTGCATCCCACGACTGCACCAGATACAATGTCTAACCCTCAGGTCAGACGTTGTGTGACTATAGCCCACACTTGGTTGATTTATCTTATAGTATGTGTATTTTCACCAATTTATTTTATTATTTTATAAACAATAAAAATGGCAAATTGTCAAAAAAAATAAAAAAAAATAGTAATAATATTTATGTAGAGATCGAATGAGTAACGTGAGTTGTTTAGAAAAAAAGCAAATTTAAAAAAAATTTCTAATCTTAGAAAAAATTTAATGATAGCATAGTGTTACTACTACAACTGCCCTAGTTATTAATAAGTACCTCTAGAGAACACTTTCAAGGCTATTACACTGAGCATTTTTATGTAGCCAAAGACCAAAAATTCTATAATTCTAAAATAAATAAAACCAAGAAAGCTAAGATCGGGGGTACTCATAAACTACCGTGTGTTATAGAGCTAAAGTTAGCTTTGTTGTCTTGTAAAAAAGTTAATCAGATAGGTGATGACACTTTATACTTGAAAAAAAAAGTGTTTAATTATTTTTATGATTATGAACCCATTGATAAAATAGTGTATTAATATTATTTTACTCGTTGTTTAAAAATTCTTGTACAAAAATCGAGTTTATTTAAATAAATGTTTATTTTGTATAACCCCCCCCCCTATCCATCAGGACAATCCTATACACATACGCTTCTGCTCGAGACCACTTATTTTTCTTTGTGTTTTACAGAATTTATATAAATATATTATGTGTTTGCTATTTAGACGACAATAATAAAATGCTCAAAGACTTAGTTTTTACCTTGATATTATTGTTGTAGTTCAACAGCGTTCCTGGGCTGATTAAAGCAATATTCGCTATAGAATTGTTGCTCAATACAAGCTCTTCGAGGTCCCTCAGTGCCCACAAGGAAGATCCATGCATTAACCGGATGCTGTTCGAGGACAAATTGAGTTTTTTACAATCGGTCATATACATGACTTCCATCGGGAAATTGGTCAGCGCCATGTTCGAGAAGTCTAAGTAGAAAACCTTTGAAACGAAAAAAATTTAATATAATATTTCGTATAAAAGTCTGACGGTTCGAACCAGTTATATCAAATTTGAACTAACTTCGTGAAATAAATATAAGCCGAAGTGGTTATTTTTTTTTATTAGTTTCGAAGTTTTCATAACTCGGTAAACTACATTAGATTATGTACGTAATTTTTGTATTATAATTTACTTCGGGTAACACAAATTCATTAAATTCAATTTAAGTTTTATTTGTGTAAAAAAAAACAAAAAAAATAAAAATATTTTTGACCAAGTAGACTAGAGTTAGTGCATAATATAATTTATTTTCTAGAAACTTAAATAGCAGATTATTATTCGTTTTTTCATGACACGTACTCATTAACCAAATCAAATGAAATGAAAATTGATGACGATAATAATATTTAGAGCACGGACTTTTATACAAATACATACATTTAATTGAATGCAAATTTATTAATACCGATATAAAAATAAGCACGTTTCGTAATACTCTGAATAATATAAGATATTTTACTCTACATACCTATTTTTATATATTTTAAAATATTTTATCAATAAGTATATTCTGTAAATATTTTGTATATATATGTGGGTATGTGTTAAGTTTAACAGAAATATTGACAAAAGCTAACAATTATTATATTGTATAATAATAACAAAAACCGGACGACCATGCTTTGCACCATGAGGGGGGTGGGCACTGTTGTAGGTGACATATTGAAATGGTAGTAGAGGGGACATTTAATGTATGTATGTACGCAACGATTAGTCATTGCTAACGAAAAAACCATTTTGATTGGAGTTCGGTTGATAGTGTTCGTCTGTAAAATGTATAATATATATGTCATATTATATATTATTATATATCATATGTAAATTAATTACATATGCATTATGTTTTTTCTTTAATAATATTTGAACTTATATTTTACCTATTTTCCCATTTTTCCCAGGTTTTTCTGATTTATTGAGAAGACTCATGGAAAAATCAAAAGATGACCTTCTTATATTAACTCTCCAGTCAAATTTCCTTTCAGAAAAAGTGCTAACATTGTAAATCAGAGCGACATTGCTAGTAGAAAAGTTGTCTCAAAAAAAAAAAATAAATAATAAACATCATTGTAAAACCAATAAATTACTCGTTCAACTTATTATCTAAAAATAAATAAAAACGGTTGCTAATGAAAAATTTATTTTCAATCCTTCATTTATTTTTTTTAACTTTAAGAACCAATTTTTTCTGGTGATGAAATGAGAAAGAGAATTTAAAAAAATGAATTTCTACACGAAAATAAATAATGTATATTGTAAAACCAATACATTCTTCGCTTCACTCAGAATCTAAAATAAATAAAATTACTTACTCTTCGAAAATGTTATTTTTAAAACCATAAAAGCAATTAGAAATATTCTTCTAAATAAAAATGATAACGCATCAATGAAAATTTAATTTACACCACCTAGTGTTGAATCCAGACAATGAGTCTGAGAGGGGCATTACTAAAATTATAGTAATGACTAGGGCTGGGAATAAAATGTCCTATAAAACCCTAAACAATTTCCTTAAAAGTTTCTTCAGCTTCTACAAGTCAATTTTGATTCTTAATCGTCATTCATTTAAATCTCCAAATGTATGTTGTTTCCAATAATAAAACAATTAAGATGAATAAATAACATAAAAACAATTTATGTAAGAAACCTATATCTACAGAATTTTATAATATGATAAAAATTTTAAATATACATTTTGATGTTAAATATTTTACGTTTTTTATTACATATTATGGCAAAAATAACATTATAAATATTTATATATTTTGATTTTTTTTTTGCACAAAAATCCGCGTATAATAATTCTGTCCATAAAGTGTTATGAATCATATGGAGCCCGTTTAGAATTTCTTTACATTTTCCTTTTTTAAATACGTATTTAATCGTTTTCCAATTATTTTATCTTCTTTATATTATATTAATATTTTATTAATAGTGATTGTGTCGTATAAAACTAGTTAAAAATAACTATAATATAATGAATACACATGCAGTACGCACATAAGGTTTAAGTCACATAATATAAGAATTTTCTTAATTCATGAGATCAACTTTGAAAACTTAATCTTTACGACGTATATAGTACAACTGATAAAGTTTGTAGTCCTGACTTGGCTGCCGAACTATTAAAAACTTTGCGACTCTCGGCCATTTGGCACCGTGGTTTGTATACCCAGTTATTAACTGGATAATTGGATGTTTTTGAAATTAGATATTCAAACTATAAATTGATTTACCTATTTAAATATGGACATTTAGTAAATTGTCGAATATAACACGAAATTTTTTAAACCAAAATATTACCTTTTTTTTTTTTAATATTCTCGCATACAAGTTTAATTTACTATGCAGTACATCACGGAAATAGACAAAATTATAACTTCCTATAATTTATCACACTACGATTAGGGTAAAAGAGTGATTCTAGGTCCCCTCGTAAGCATAACTATCCTACTTTCTTACCCATACGATGTGCGGGATGTGTAACTGGATTAGGTAGATCTAGATTAGGGGATCCAGAACTGTTCTATTTACTCTACTTCTGTGCATATTCTTGTATTCTGTTTCCCAATAAATCAGAAAAAACGAAGGAAAACGAGAAAATGTACGATATATACCTAGGTACTATAGTTGATAAAATATTACAGCATTTATTTTTCTGTGAACAACTTTTCTACCAGCAAAATTGCTCTGATTTACAATATTATTATTAGTGTACGTTTATGTCTAATACTTGAAAATTGATAATGTTATTAATAAATTATATGGACATAAATCAAAATTGATTTGTTGTTATAGTTACCAACGTCTCCTGTATACCATACAGTATACATACCTGTATACAATTAAAATGTAATATTTTTGTGACAAACAAAATGAAATATGACATTTCGCCTTAAAATAGTATAAAATCACTACCGAAAAACATTCACGGATCGTAGAAATACACACACACCGTCAACCACATTAATAATTATCGAAATGCATTGTTTTCGAAACGATTTTTTTTTCTTGCATTTATTTTGTAGAAATCTTTTTGGCGCTGTTATAAAATTGTAATCACTTATTAAAATTATAAAAAATAATACTAAAACCGGTTTTCTTACGAATATGCCGCAAATTATTCTGCGGCTTGGTGCAACCCGGCTGAAGTCGAGAAGAAAAAGTAAAAAAGTATTAAAATAATAATTACAACAAAATTAGATTGTTGGAAATAAATTGATTTCTTTCAACTTCCAATTTACTTTTGACATCACGTCAAACTATCAAACTAAATTACATACTCGTATAATAATATGTTTAGAGCGATTCAGAATTGTTTTTATTTCTTCTCTTCCGCGATTTTTAAAAAAAAAAAACAAATTACGCCAGTGTCTCCCCGCTGCACAGTGTCCGCGCGTCGATTTCGCGTCTATATTTATCGTAAATGCACGTCCGAAAAGTTTTCGTAGGCGATGCGCAAACTTATGATTTATACAGGATAGTTGCCCTTATATTTTTTAAACGTACAAGTTTTTATAGGGTATTCGTTTTTTGTATTTTCCAGTTCGATGGCTTATTATTTATTAATAACGGCCGGTTGAAATATTACAGTATAATAGTAATGATATTATTATGTATAAGAGAACGGGAATTGAATTTCGTCCCGAGAATCGCTTTTTGAATGCAATGAGTTTAACGTTAAAATAATGTTATAATATTCGTTTAATAATATCATATTACGCGCCGACTGAACAGCGGCCGCGTCTCAAAACAGGTGCAAATTATTATGTTCAACTTTTTACGAGGGAGGGGGGGGAGTATAGGTGTAATACGTAAGTATTTCGTAAATTATTCAGAATTTATTCAAATATCATCGTGGCGTTGCATGTTACGGCGGCGCACCGCGGTAATAAGTTAAACGTTAAAATAAAATGATAAATACGGGTAAAATTCGTTTGTTCGCAAAGTGTAGTATACCTACTAAACAACAAAATAATTGCAGGCGTCGCTTAGAAACAAAAGCGTGATAACTCAAAATTTTGCACTTCTCTGTTTCAAATACTGGGTATATCGGCAGTAGTTTCTTATTTGAAGTACAATTATCATTACCCTCTAGTCCCGGGGTGGAGGGGAGGGGAAGATGCTTTAGTTATTGTCACACGAGACGATTTTAATGACATTTTAAATGAAGTTAATTTTTTTCTACCGGATATTTTTGTCTAAAATTCAAGAATAGCATATTTATGAAAGAAAATATTGTCTAGTTTGTGAGTAAGAAAGTCGTACAATTTTCCTAATGTATACGAATATCCGAGAAAAAACTTAGACAATACAGCAAAGTGTACGGAATTTTTTTTTTTTTCTTGTTATTTAGTTAAAAATTTTTGTAGTTTTCACAAAGTATTTATATTGCCATTTTATAGACGTGATAAAATATTTATAATATTCTAGCTGTTTTTGGGCTATTTATAGATATTTAATATTTTTAGTGTTTTCATAACGTGTATTTTTATTTGATAGGTAGAAAAATGCTTGAAAACTTACACAAGGTACTCTATAATTTGTACTTAATAGTGATCTGAGAAACAAATATGAGTTTAATGCATTTTTTTTATAAGCGTTTTAAGATCTAATTTTAATGAAAATCGTAAAAATTACGGCATTTCAAAATATTTTATACCGTACATTGCTTCGAATCGTTTTTTGAGAGCAATGATTTATCGTTGTGTACAGATATAAATTAAAGTTGGGCAGGTAAGATATAGAGGGGAAATTAATGTATATTTGTATGCAGCGATTAATCTTTACTAACTTAATATTTACGATTTTCTTCAAAATATTATAGTAAACTCAACTTTTTCTTGATTTACACTAAGCACGACTTAAAATGAACCTCTTATTTTTAATGTTCAAGCATTTTTGTTTGGTATAAGAATTTTATCCAAAGATTACCTATCGAATACATTTTACGTAAAAAACTCACAAAGTTAAAATGTTTATAAATAGATTAATTATATATCTTGAATGTTTTGAAAATTTTACGATGCCTATAAAAGAAAAATGTAAGGTTTTTGTTAAAATGTACCAAGTACCTACAAATATTTTTCTCTAAATTACAATAATAAAAAAAAACAAAATTGAAAACAATAAAAACATTATTTTCGTAAATAGTGTTATCTTTTCTACGTTTATCCTGATTTTTTAAAATTGCTATGAAAATCACTTGGAAAATCAAAGAAATCACCTCCTAGAAAACTGCTCTGGCAAATTTTCGAAAAATGTAACGGAACGGAACAGAATTCTAAACAAAACGCCTGATTAAAATATTTCAGGATTATTTGATTTTGAACCTAATAACATAGTTAGAATTACTATCTTCCTTTTTATAATTAAGTGTTATTTTATTATAACGCTAATGTGATATTCGGTTATACTTTACTATAAAATATTATAATTGTTTTTAATTAATACGATAAAAAAAATATTTACGCATGTCATATTATATTAAATTTCATTGGTTGTTTATCGATATTATTATATCTATATATATATACCAGGGGTGGCCAACTTATTGTTCACGTCTTATTCACAAAAACCAAAGTTTACTTATTATCGTTATTATTATGAATTTAGTTGCCTGGTATACATTTAATAAAAAAAAATATGCGTTTTTATTGTCTAAAAACTACAGATTGCAGATAAATAAACAAGATCATATTACTCGTATAAGTAAATATAAATAATGAATAAAATATAAACGTTAAGTTAAATTGTTTTGTGTGGAACTTTTTTCGCAAGCTTCTTAAGATCTGGTTCTATTGATATAAGAGCAGTTCTGATGAATTCTGTGAGAATTAATTAGTTAACTTTGAACGATATTTTACTTGTGTTTCTGATTTTTTGGCACTGTTATATTTTTTCCAAATGTGAAAAGTGATTAAAGTTATGTAATTTTAAATCTATTACAAAAAGTTTATTTTAACAATTAATTATTGTTTGTTCTAAGTCCCTTAGTTAATTAACTAATTAATTTTGACCTTGAAAAGGCACATTAAAATTGCTAAACGTTGCATGATATCGATGGAAAGTAACATCTCTCCTAGCTAATTAGCATTTGAAAATTGAGAAAAATGTTAATGCTTTCTGTTAAAAAACTCTGATCGGTTCTAGAAGTTGACAAAAATTGGTAAAAAAGTATATATTAGATCAATTAATACAAAATAATAAGTTGCATTTATAAGCATTTTGGCTCATAAAAGATATCATTAGAGAATGTACTTATTAATTTCGCTCGCAAACATATTAACGAGACTCACGAGCATACTAATGTTGGCCACCCATATTATATACAATTTAATATGTTTAGTCGAATATTATTAAATCGATTACGTTGTTTACACCCAGTTAACCATGAGGTTATCTTATTGTCACTGTATTAAATTAAGTTTTATATTTTTATCGTCATCATCTTGAACTAACGTGAAAATTCATTTAGAGTAGATGGTACATTATTTGAAACATTTTTTAAAAAATTCCAATATTTTTCCCGAAAACTAATTTTATTTTTTGACAGCTCGAAAGATCCGGAATCTTTTACAATCAATTGTACTTGGTTAGTCAACAAAACAATTAATTTGGAAAAACGTCCCAATAAAAACACGATCATTAATAAACGCTTTTTGTATGAAATAATGCTAATAGTAATATTATGAGGATTATGCTATATTATGTGACAGTCATATGATGACGGATCGTATTAATGTAAGACGGTTACTCGTATCAAAGCGAGAGAATCTAAACTTATTGCCTAACATTCCATACTTATATCGTATCCAATTAAATTTTAGGTCTCATACAATTTTTACTCGTTGTTTTCTGTTAGTATTGCTCGTATGGTTATTTTAATTACTTAGGAATTTTTTATTATCACATTGAGTAGCGGTTTCCAACTTTTTTAGTTGTGCGGATCACCAATTTTGTAAAATAAAACTTTTAGGCCCATCTATGCAGGTAAAAATAAAAACAAATAGACACCTATATGATCAATATATATATATATATATAATATTATAATTGATAATATACAATATACAATATACATATACATACATATATTATGTATCAGCAATTCCAGTATAAAAGAGCAAAAAGGGTAAAACAGGAGCTAATTCAGTTTTTGTTATTTTTAAGTCAGGGAGGCAATTCGATTCTGCCTCGTTTATTCGTTCAAATAGAAATAATTACTAAGGGAGAAATAAAAAAAAAAAAAACTTATAACAAATAAGTAGCACGTCTCTTCATGTCTGCCTTATTCGTGCATCGATTTGATTTGTATTTATAATTAGGATAACTACGAAACAATTTAAGCAAAATGGGAAAGTTAACTACACAGACGGATACATTTTTTTTTTTTGTTTTAATCTCGTTGAAAATAATCGTAGAGACCTGAAACCACAGAACTTATGTATACAAATATTTTAGCGATGTTTGAAATATTTATAGGTATTTTACATTTTTGGGATATTCGTTTTTTTTGGTTAGGTCAGATTGTGGACAAAATTATTTTGGTCGAACAGAAATGCTTGGAAATTTAAAATGAGGGGCTCATTATAGGTTGTTGTTATTGGTAAAAAAAAAAAATAGATGAACTATTAATGCAATTGGTTGTTTTTTTTTAATTTTTATGAAACTTCAATAGAATCGTAATTTTTTTTTTTGATTCCCTTTGTTTTGCGGTGAGGAAATTACTTTAACGCAGTTTTTTAACCTTATATTTATTAGTACCTGATACATAGTTAGTTATATTCTAGTTTATTCTCAGAATATTCTGAATAATTAACATTGACAACTTTTTTCTTTTTTTATGTTACGATCAATATTCGTTCTTATTTCTAATTTGAATAATTAAGTATGTAAGATGTATCTGAAATTTTTAATGATTTTTATGGAACATTTATAGTAAACTCGACATTTACCTGCATATTTAGGCCGTAATTTAGGACTTCGGTGATATTGGCTCCGGGACAAAGCAATTCGTAGGCCGTACAAATGCATTGTTTATGACATCTGATTTCGGTCTTGAGCTCGCTCTCGATGACCGGTGTTTCTCTTATAGTTTTCACCACCGCACAAAGCAGCACTATCACCAATGCTGTGATATTTGCCTTCAAGCTAATCTGAAACGTATAAAATAACTGAAATACTTTAAATATTTAATTCTATTAAATTTCGATAATTCCCACGAGGTAAAAACTATTTTCACTGAACATGTTTATCCGACCCGATGTACCTTAAATGTATCAAATGTCATATGTAACCAAATTCGATAGTAGTTTTAAGGAGTGTGAAAAGACAATCTCCCTCTTTGGCCACTTTTTTTTAAATTGTTACTTGATTTAACTATAGGTATAGCAATAATTTATTAATCAGGTATAAATTAAATCACTCTATATATCCTACTTTCCAGTGGCGCAACTAGTGTTTATTGAAAAATACAATTAAATAAATGTGATTTCTTGCAAAAATTAGAAATAAAAAGTACTGTATAGAAAATAATAGTACTTACAGAAGGCTGGTGGGACATTCATATACGTATGACGGTCGTTGTCTATGTCGATTATATTTACAGCCAAATTTTTATTTGATTTTTTTATATATGTGTTATGCGCAGACTAAACGGTTGCATTTATTTTTCACAGTAAAATATTCACAAAGTAGCAGACAAAGATCACTACTACGAGACGCCTTTAAACGAACGTTAATTAGTGGTTAATCGACGAATAAACAAACAGAGTTTATGTTCTGAAATTATATTTTCGTCCGCTCCCGATAATAATAAAATACGTTTGACAATATTCTATTCGATAACGATGGAGAAAAAAACGGTTTATCAAAAACAATATTGGAAATTAGTGAAATATTATTTTGATTACAAAACCAATTAAAAGATTTTTATATTATGTTAAACATATTGATATAATATCTACCCAACTACTTTTGTAGATATTATAAATACGTATTATTACAAATATGGAATAATATTCTTAAAACATCATCATCATTATATTTATGTGTATGTAATTCTTTTTACTCAAATACGTTTTAAACAAATATTGGCTGTCGTTTAATATTAAATAAAACGTGACATTGAGACGGTGTCAATGTGTACAGAGTGATCCATTCATTTCGTAATTTCCGGGTTCAGTGAATCGCGTCCCAAAAATAAAATGTTAATACAGAGCTAGGTAAATTGCGGCTCGGGTATTTTTTATAAGTTGGCGAATTGCGTCCCCGAAATTTGTTTTATTTATATACATATATAATAAATTCATAGGATACATATTAAAAACTTGCATTACTACTACAGATGCAAGTTTCTCTCCAAATTTCTGGGCTGAATTTGTACCGACGACAAATCTGACAACCAATAACAATTGTGAGACATTTCACTTCAAATTAAATAATCTATTTATCACTAGTCATCCGAATAGTCACAACTTTATTGATGTTCTAAAAAATATACAGACTGAAAATACACACATAAAAATATGAAATAATGGACAAAAAAAACGAAAAAGAAAATTATATTCGAGAAAAAATGATTGAATATAATAATAAATTATTGATCAGATTCAAATAGGTCAAATTCGTTTTATTTAAATGTTTATTATATATATATAATATACTTTCATAATTTTAATTTTTTTTTTTTTTACATAAATGATTGACGAATAATTGAATGAAAAAATTAACCAACAAATTACCTATTATATATAACAGGGACGAAATTCACTTAGTTTTATAAAAAATGGGACGTAATTCACCTAACACCGTAATTTCGGCTATTTCTGTAGAAATTTGTAGTACACGTATTTTAATCGATATTTATTTATTTTGTTATGTAATCGTTTAAAACAAAATAAAAAATGTTTAGTGTACGTTTCCTTTTAAATCTGCATTTTTTAAAATAATATCATTTAAAAAACAATTCAAACAAATACCTTACAGTTTTTATAGTAAATAAAAATAATAAAATATTATTTATGTGGCACATAATATATCAAGTTGATTTCATATTTTATTACGTGGCATAAAAATTATTACTAAACGTTATCAGGATTTCATATAAATCCATGACTTTTTGGAAAAAATAAGATTCACAACAATCTATAAAAATAGTTTAGTTTTAACTATTTTACCGAAATTATGAGCAAAGTGAAAAATACATAATGTCCTACAATGTGGTCCTTACGCTTATAATAAAACCTATTCATTTTTTTTTTTTGTGATTTTTTCAGAGAGGACACATATTTAGAGAAAATCTAAACTTTAACTTTCATCCCTTAATTATTAAAAAAAAAAATTACTTCATTTTATCATTTTTAAAAATGTTCAAAATCACAATTTTGTAAAAAATATTATTCTAAACATTTTAATGTAACATACATTCATATCTGATCAAACATGTATTAGTGATAGCAGTTTGAATTTCTAAAAAATTGGCGTGAAAATAATTAATGTTCATTCGAATAACACGTTATGTGATAAGAAATAACAATCAGCATGGCAGTTCCCTATCTTCTATTGATTAGTAACTATTGTTTTCACGCCTGTTTTCTACACATTATAGTCATTACGAAACTAAGAAACTATTGATCGGTTATGAATGTATGTTACATTAAAATGTTTAGAATAATATCTTTTATAAATTGGTGACTATTTCGTAAATTTTGAAAATTGATAAAATAAAATAATATTTGTTTAAATAATTAAGAGATGAAAATAAAAATTTAATTTTTTTCTTCATATATGTTCTCTTCACACGAAACTCGATTGAAAAAAAGAAATGAATACTGACAAAATTAACATTGGCATATGGACGAAACTGTAGAACACACTTTGTAATGTAGACTTATTATACTAATATGATTTTTAAAAATTTTTTTTTTTGTCTGTCAACAACTTTTTAGCAAGAAATATTTTGTATTGATTATCATCATTAGCGGTGATTTCCGGTGGCGATTTGTGTGTAATGTTTTCTATTAATTTCCATTGTACTTTATTTTCTTAATAATAAGGAAAACTAGAAGAAAAATATTTCTGTTCGGTCTAAATATTGATTCAAATATTATAATATAATTCAATTGAATTGTATATACCTTCTGATTAGAAATTACGTAAAAAACTCTCAAAATTAAAATATACATAAATATCTCAACAATGGCTCAAATATTCTGAATATGGTACTACGTCTAGAAAAGGTAAATATAAGTTTTCTGTCTTAATTTTAAGTCCCTAAGAACATTGTGAATCACAACGAAAGAACATAACTGAATATAATAAAATCATTTTCGTAAATTTCCCTGTTTTTTTTTTTCGATATTACACAATTATTATGAAAACCACATAAAAAATGTACCAACTGGATAAATTTCCCTTTCCGAAAAGGTGCTACACTTGATACATTGGAGCAAGATTTCTAGTATAATTTTGTAAACAATAAAATAAAAAACAAAAATAAAAATAATAACGTCATTGTAAAATCAATACATCGTCCGCTCCAATCAGAATTTAAAAGTAAAGGAAAATTAGAGATATTTGCGGACGTTAAAGTTTCATTATTTTTGAGTTTTTCGGATTTACTTATTTATCAGCAATCCTATTCTCAATTTTTTAGAGTAATACTTTTTCTGAAAGAAAATTCTATTATTTTTGTGCATAAGAAAATAACCATAGAAACAATAATTTTAGTGATCTATATATTTTAATGGCAATTCACAAGTAATTTATATTAATAATAGACCTATTTTTTAAACGGAGGTAAATTTTCAAAGAAATCTGGTGATTTTTAGTTAATTTTAGACATTCGGTATTTTTGAGATATTTTATAGATATAAAATGTTTTGGCCGGAGAGAAATTTTAGGAAATTTTTCTCGGGATCCATTATAATAAGTTTAATAATTTGCACTTATGGTAGGTACGCAAACAAATTAGTATAATGTGGTTGTTTTTTTATACACGTTTAAAGTTCAAACTTTGACGAAAATCGTAAAAATTATAATTGTCATTAAACTTCACCATACACAACTGTAAATGTCTAAAAATAATTAAAAAAAAATTGGTGATATTTTGACAATTTGCTTACGTCTATAAAATATTATAGCCATTAGTAATGTGAAATACATGTGAATTATCTATGAAAAATTTAGGTCACTACGATTATTGCAGTAAAATGTCCCGTTTTTCATATGTGTTAGTATTTCATATAGTAGTGATGCATTATTAACACGTCGCGCGCCGTACCGCCACACAAACGATCCTCCGCTACTCTCTTCCAATTTAAACTTAAGAGTGGAATATCTCGTCAATGGATTAACGGAAATAAAAAATGTCAACAGTGAAATTTATTTTAACTAATATTCCATCTGTTTATGGAATTTTTAATATAGGTTGTCAAATCAAAAGTGGGTAGTGGTTTTAGCCCCAAACATAAGGGTGACAAAAAATAACACAAATATAAAATTGTAGAGCTGCTTGTTTCTTAAACGTTATAGAAAACAAATTCGGGAAAAAGTTTATACTTTCCGAAATAATGAGTCAACCCACTTAAATGGATCACCTGGTAAACTATATAGGTACCGACACCGTCACCAGTTGAATACCTACTGATAATGTTAAAAAATATTATACTTGCTGCTCTACGACAATGCGGACTTAAAGCAAACGACAATGAGAAAAATATGTACACAATATTTCTATAAGTCTTGGTGTAATAATAATAAACAAATATTTTCGTAAAACGATTATCTTTACTATGTTTTGTGTTTATCGTACATGCACGTGGCAAATATACCTAAAATATTAATACTACTCACGAATTTTCTTAGTATTCGACTGAGCCGATAGCAGCCAAATACTGACAGCCAGGAATCCCGTTTAGGTTGAACAGAGTACGCTCGGCGTGATCATACTTAATAATATAGGTAACATTGTCATTTATCCGTGAATTGTAAGTATTTTTAACCGAACGGCGGCAGCGGTAACGGAGGTAATTTTTCTTTTTTTCATTCTGATATTATTATTTTTTTCGTCCATGTACGAGTGTTGTCGTTCAAAGACTTCATAGGAATATTCTCGTGAAATATTGGATCTATAGTTAGTAGCGTATTATGTAGATTATTATTATCGTCTTAAAAATGTATCATTTAAAAATATGTTTAAATTTAAATGTAATTCGTTGAAATTTTTCGATAACCCAAAACATATTAAGTTACATATTCATTTATCAAAATATGACTGTAGAAAACTATCACCATGCTACAATAGTGTCAGTTCAGTTTTGGAAAGGAGGGACAAAGTTTTGACCGGTTCATAATAAAACTGAAAAAAAAAACATCTCACTAACTTATTCGTCACAATTACATTATTATCTCAAATAGCTACATTATATAATTTACTACTTACTATTATAGACATAATAACCCATTTATTTTATTTTCTTCCCGTTTTTCCTACATTTTTTCCCCGTTTTTTTCGCATTTATTAAAAAAATACCTCGGAAAATCAAAAAAATGATTTTCTTAAAGTAGCACTCCTGAATTCCAATTCAGAAAAGGGGTTACACTTGGAAATCAGAGCAAAATTTCTGGTATAAAAGTTGTTCACAGAAAAAAAAAATAAACATCATTGTAAAACCAATACATTCCTTGCTCAGCACAGAATCTATAAGTGATTTGTTTACAAGCGAACCAAAAAAAAAAAATGTAGCTCAGAGTGGCCCTATGTATAACATAAATCATATAACAAAATAACACGATTCAAGTTTGCAGGCTTGCAGCCCAAAATTAGCCGGACACCAGCTCATTCCCAGCCATATAGAGGCTCGCTGATGACAAGGGGGAATGTCTCCTTGCCCTCCCACTGCCACGCTATAATACAATTTATAGTAATGTTATTATTAATAATTATGGCAAATGGTATGCGTGTTGAGGGTTTTGCGTCAAATTGACCCTTAACCGTTATGATTGTTATGATCAGTTTTCTACCAAGGTTATATCCGATTACTACAAAAAAAAAAAAAAAAAAATTAATTCATTATTTTAAAAATGTTTTGAGAATTTATATTATTTGGCGTGGATCCAAAATAATTATTACAGGGGGGAGGCATTTTATATTGTGGACATAATATAATATATAAAATTTAATAATTTTAAATATTACGAGTATTGCCATTAATATTTCTTAACATTGTAAAGAAATCAACTTTCAACTAAAAACTTAAAAAAAAACTAGGTAAGGTTTTTAAGTAAATTGTCAAAACAATTAAAAAATATTAATTATTAATTAAAATATAAATTATAAAGCAAAATCTAATTTTATTTTGGTTTTTGAAAACCTGTCAATAACTTTAGTGACATCTACGTCAATATCACGATGAATATTTAAAATACCAAGTTCTGTTAATGTAGTCTCTGACATAGTTGATCTCAGCCATGTTTTGAGTCTTGGTAGTGTGAAAAACGTTCTTTCAGCACTTGTATTGCTTATTGAAAGAGTTGTCAAAATGGTCAAAAGACGATTAATTAACAGAAATATTTCTTCGTCAAAATTCGCAAGTATTTTCGTAACACACGGAATTTACCGAAATGTTTTCAAGTTATTCATGGTTCCATTTTTGTTTTCATAATCTATACTCGCAAACTAATAAAGTAAATACCATGTCTTTTTCATTTGAAAGAAGTACTTTAAAATCGTCTGCTAATGCTTAAATGATAATGTCTGATTTATTTAATGAATATGAAGTTGTATTTTCATTTATAATTTTGTCAGGAAGTATATATGAAAGATTAAAGCATTCAAGTGTTTTTTGTGAAAAACGTGCTTTTAAATCATTTATGACATAATCTAATAATGGAATAATTAAGGCTAATTTATAATATTCTTTTGTATTATTGGTTGGATAATATGCACGATTCGTTTGTCTTGAACAATTTCTTGGAATTTTCAAATCAACTTTTTGAGTTGTAGCCATATTCTTAGACGATTTATAAATGTCTGTAAACCGAGCAGAAACATTTTCTCGGCATTCTGACAAATATTTTTGTATATATTTCAGTATATTGGCTGCTACGTGTAAATTAATAGGTTTTTTTTGAAAACATTTACTTAGTGGAAATTAGTTAAGCATATAAGAGAGACAACAAAGTGAACAATAATTTTCAACAACAAAGATCTCTGATATTTTTGACATGTGAATATTGTGATATAAAATTATTTAGCGAATGAATAACAAGGGCACCTGCGGGCATTAGATGCTACTTTAATGATTTTACTAACAGCTCCACGAAGTTCGTAAACCATTACGCTACATCCATTAGTTCCCACACCTACACATTTTTTTCAAATCAAGACCGATACTATTTATTCGCTTGATAATAATTTCACCTAATAATTATCCAGTTATTGAAATTTCTTTTTTTTTTTTCATAATTTATTTCACTTTCCTTGTTATCTTCAGGTTCCTCTTGTATAACCGAAACTTCATCAAAAGCATCGACAAACATGACAAAACATTCTCTAACTGAATCATTATAAATATAATGAAAATAAAATAAACTGATTAAAATGATACCGAATAAAAATATTTATAACAGTTGACCTACAAATGCGGGCGATTACGATATGAGACCACGCCCGATATCGGTTACGTCGTAAGTCGGTACAATTATAAAAATTACTGAATTATAAATAGAACTGTCCGCAAAACAATGCATTTATTATTATTAAATGTATATAAAAACTAAAAATAACAGCCTAACCTAAAAAAAAAAAAATATTTGATTGTTATCGTTGCTTGACATATTAGTATAATAATTTAGTATTTTTATCGTGACATTTGAAGAGGGCAACGCTCCCATGACCCTCTCCCCTTGTATCCTCACCTGCATTATATCTCGTGTTTATTTACTTTCATACAATCTGTACACGATTCATTTGGAGAACCGTTTTGACGAAACAATGTAAACTATTTTTTTTATTAAATAAATCTAAGGGTGCTGAGTGAACTGCAGAATCCTCCCACCATAAATGTCAGAAAATCTTAAATTACTGTTTTGAATATATTATATCTTAAAATGGTTTATTATACAATATGTGATAATATACAACTGAACAGCCTCCAAAAAAATGTCTATGATACAAGGTGAGGTGCGTACATCGTACGATTTGAGGGATTTAGGTTCAGAGGTTCTCAAGAGTATCTAAAATAATATAATGATATATGTAATACATATATTAAAACAAAAAAATCTTATTTTTGGCGGAAATTAATATGACCTGTGTCGGAAATGACAGATATGATGATTCTGAATGATTTTGGCGGAAAACGGTGACACCAGCGTGTTGTACCCGAGCTATAATAACTCTAGACACTAAAATGTGGGAGAGAAGATTAAATAATTCAGCTGTTTACCTAACCTAATGATTATATGGAAAATAAAGTATAGTTTAATAAATGTATAAGAAGCGCAAGACTGCAGTGGACAGATTATGTCTGGATGGTCGACAATAGTGTAATCCAACGGTTCTCAGACTGCACATATATCAGTAATAAGGAACACATACTCTAAACACGTACAACAAAAATTAAAAAAAAATTATTCACAAGAAAAAGAAGTTTATATCATTGTATTCAAACAATAAATAAGTGGTTAAAATTAAAATTAATGATTTTTGACATTGTTTTTTTCCACGGAAGTGTTAATATTATACATATTATAATATCGAGATTAATTAGGCATATTATAGCAACCGGTGGAAGACATAAGCGTCCAAAATGAAATAAGAAAAAAAAAATCGTATCGTACGAGAGCACCAACATTCTAGGTACTTGTGTGCCACGGTTAATAGATATACGAGTATACTCCAGTAACAGATGTATTTATTAACCGTGTCTGTGAAATAGATATTATTTAGAATATTAGATAAGAAAACGATAATCAATAATTTTACGATAGCGATCATTGTGGGATTATTATTGAATCTCGATAGACGTTTAATATTATATAATAATATAAATAATATACAATTTGTGCCGACCTTTGGCTTTAAACCTCGACTAGCGTCCGTGGCTCAGTACCACGTTACCCACGGCCCACAAGTGGGTTGGAAGCCGCCGGGTTAGACAATAATATAGATACCTATTTTTTTTTTTTAATGCTTTCAATATAAAACACATTGTTATGTTACACAGAGATTCCAAGAACTACGAAAAACGGCGTGCTCCGATAATTTGTACGCGATACGCCGGTAGTAGAATAGCGTTTATCATTGAACAACATGCTATTATCTCGATTAACTTAGTGATCAATATTCTTATTCGTGGAATCTTTTAAAACATGAAGATGTTTAAAAATGCAAAACGATTAATTTATGTAAAAAAAAATTTGTAAATGTTTTCTATATTTTAATGTTGGTTTTAAAAATGACAAGTTATACCGTAACAGCTATTGTATTATTCCGTTTTGTTATGATACGTGTTTAATGATTTTATATGACACCATAAACTATATGGTCCTGTTACACTTCCTCCAAATTATTTTCAAAGTAACATAAAATTGATAATTTCCGTTGTTATTTTGAAATAGTTTCATTATCTTCATGTAGAATTTCAACTGTTCTGCATGAATTAAGACATTAGGCTAATAATTCGGATAATAATTGTTCGTATCGCCTACTAACTGCTCATACTCCACATCTTTGGATAAAATTGGAGTCAGTGGTAGATCCAGGGGCGCAATTGGAGCGATCACCCCACCGTTAACTTTCAAATATACACTTAGCTTAATTCATCATTGAGCTCGTCATAAATGCGTATCTTATATAAATTTTCAAAATAGCCTCCCCCCCCAGTGATCTTGTCCTGGATCCACCCCTAATTGGATTAAAGAAAGATTTTAGTACTTTATAATCATTACTTTCAATTCAACTTAAAAATAAAACTACTTAACTTTCACTTCTTTTATTTATCAGCATATATCATATTTCTACTCAAGTCTCTAAATTTTTCTCTTGTAGCTTGAGTTCTTTATACTTCCGAATTTACATATTTTGCTTTTTTATTATTCTTTGTGATCCGGGTGATTTTACTTTATTTGTACTCACGTTAATCGCATTTTCCTAGTCACTTTTTTGTACTCCATTATTCTAATTGAAAACACGCAATAATTCTACTTACTAATAATTAAAAGAAGATCAATTTATTTAATTAAGTATCTTTAATATATTCATGACCATTAAAACAAAAGCAAGAAAAACACGATACAAAATCAATACCGTTTTAAAACTATGTACAATAAGTGTGACCAACTCCACAGAATATTATATCAATTTGATAACTATATTTATTTCCTTAACCACTATTGAAATTGAATACCTTTTATCTTCTTTATTCTTCTATTCAAATAGGTAGTGTATATAGATTATACATTTAATTCTGAGTTAAAAACTATAAAAAGGATTGAAATTGAATTAGCATGTCATCGTTAAAAATGAACTTCCTATTTATTAAGTCGTTGTAAAACCAATATTTAGTTCGTAATTAAATCATTTAATTTGTTTAACTTGTTTACTTCCGGCATCCTAAATTTCATTGTATAAACAATATTATGACTATTTGTTACTATATTACAATGACTCGTATTGACTGCGGTTATTTATTAATCGAGTTAAATATTACGTGATATGATAATTGGTTTGATGTTTACATCCATTTCAGTGTCACTTACCTCCATTGTGGTGAATTCAGATGCGGTCCAATGTGACGCGAACGTGACGTTCGACTGCGGATGCTGTTGACGTACGGCAATCTAAAAATATGAAAAAAAAGTGCAATGCTATAATCTCAGTTTGCCAGTGATATAGGTAAGCTGAGAAAGTTACTCAATTTTAGTAATAAGTAATTTACAGCTATTTTTCTTTATTTAATAACTTAAATTAAATTACAAGTTACTCACTGGAAAAATAAATAATTTAATGGATACTATATTAGTTGAATATGTATGAGCACTTTACACCTGTTCAATACATAAAACACGAAATATGTACCTATATATAAGCATACAGACAGTATTTAAGGTTAGATTAAAGTGTGTTGCATACAATACTGCGAAATTCACAGATACTGTATAACATTTTAATATCAGTATACCGTATTAGATGCATAAATAATAAAGATATGGTTAAGCTATCCATTAACAGCAACCTTATCAGTGTTCCAAGAGGGACGGATATAGTTATTCCAAGGGTTTCTTAAAGTAAGGTGTTTTATATCTACGAGGTGTGATGGTTTTTCCGAATTGCGTGAGGAAATTATTGTATAGGTCGAGCACGCGGTTTTTTAGAGACTGAGTTGAGTTGCGTACGCGTTTTATTAAATTTTTTAATTTTAGATTCTGTTAAAAACTTTTCTCTTAAGAAATACTCTTATTTTTTGATTTTACGATTTAAAATTTTAAAATTTTTACTTAGACCAAATGATTGAATTTTCAAGTAAAAAAGATTTACACATTCCTTTTTTTGCATGCCCATCTCTTAATATTATTAGTTAAAAAAGAATTGACATGAAATTAATATCCGTTATAATAAAAATGTATTATATTTTACTTTTTTGCCGTAAATGATGTCCATTTTTTTTTTAAAGGTATTCGAAATCGTTTTAATATGTAACTATTGATTGATCATATATAGATAAATAATTTAAATACTGCTTCAGTCATTCTTTAAAAATAAAAGTAGTGATTATTTTATAAACATTAAAGAATAGATACCAATACCTAAGAGTTTATAAAATACAATTTATCATTTCTCATAGTAAATACAGTAATATTCTAAAACATAACATAAAAACCGGCGTACTGTAATTAAGTTACCTACCTATTATCAAAAAATAATAAATAATTAATTCAAAATATTAAAGTACAATATTCTAATAGGTGGTCATTTTTTAAAAATATATCTGTTAACATCAAGACATGTAAACAATACTGTACAATAATAAAATATTTTTTATCTGTCTCTCGATGTCTGTTAATAATAAGTATACATACACACGCCGGTAAATCGGTAATGTAGGAAAGGGAAAACAAATACAAATTCAACACAAAAAAAAAATAAAAAAAAAAATAGTATATATTTGAACGAAATGCCGATGCCGAAGCGTATTACTATGTAAACTGATGTGACAGTATATCATCTTGCCTTGCAGTGGTGGAGGAAGTGTCTTAAAACATGCCTCGTTTTCAGTATCAGTGTACGCGCTTCAGTATTGTTTCTTTATCTCGATGTTTAACCTCTTCTATCAGACAGTAAAACAAACCGGTTTACATCACTTATAGAATAAACGGGTCTCATCAGTACCTGCCTACCCAGAATAAACGACATAGCTACGTAACTTATTAAATATGACCAACTGTTTCAAAATATATACCTTGGTTTAAATGATTAACGTAGACATAATAATATAATACAAGTATATTATATTTGAACATTTTCTCAATTTGATAGTAGTCATCAGCTATAGTAGCAGCATTCATTAAGTATACCTAACAACAGTTACTGCTAAAAATCACTGTTAGCCAATGGCGTAGCCAGCGTGCAGGCTTGGTAAGTCCGGGCCTACCCGGTTTTCTCCGAAATTAACATAATTTTAAAATCGAATATTTTTATTAGTAATCTTTCTCGTCTTAATATTTATATTATTTTATCTAGACCAAAAGAAAAATATTTTAAGCAAAAGTAGATTCATCCACCACCCCTTATATCTAGGCTTCTGTTGGCCGTCTGTATTCTTTAGTAGGGTAACTGTATCGTTTATTCCAAGTAGGGAGGTACTGAACCGTTTATTTTATTCGTCTTATAAACCGTATCTGGTACTATTTCTTTATTATTTATGATTAAATGTTGATAAATGATCACTGATAATGAAATTTGTTTTGGAAAATATTTTAGATATAGAATACCTACTAGATAGCTAATTTGTTATTCGAGTACATCGAAATATTAAACGTTGACGCCAGCCTCCATATATGCGGTAATCAATGTTCACATTTTATAATCACGATTGTTATAATTTTATTTACTTGATTTTGTTCTTCTTGAGCGTGCTGTGGTATATTTTTATTATGTTACATAGTATTATAAATATTTAAATAAAACATAACACCTTCATTCCATTTTTCCTCAATAGACTCCAAAAAAGTCCATGCTATAAATTAATTACATTTTAATACTGTTATGAAATCGATCGGGAAATCATGAATAGAATTAAGAACTAATTATAGTGATATTAATAAATGAGTGATGCCAAAACAAACACCAAGCGCAATATCATATTATTATCAAGCTGTATTGATAAGAATATTGAAACATTGAAAACATTGACCACCACGCATATGGCGACTGGCATCATATGAAAATGTCAATTAGCTATCTAGTATTATGCATCTATCGAAAACATTAACTATCAACCATATTGTTAATAAATGATAATATTATTATCATTATTCGATATTTAGATATATGTAGGATAATTATTTTTATGATGTTATTATAAAAATGGTAGGTAAATTTTTATGACGGAGAAATAATTAACGAGTTATTAAATTATTAATGAAAAACTAACTGCAAAAGCAACACATTAAGTTACAAGTTATCAATGAAAAAAATGTAAATTGTAAACTACAAAGTTACTCATATTTGTAAATTCTTTGTAACTAGTTACTGCCTAGCTTTGGCACGTCGTACCTGCCTATTCAGTCATACAGACGGACGGTAGAAAGAAAGATTTTGGCAGACACAGGCGTTCATTTCGAACTTGATGCGTAGGTGAGTATATTTCGCTTATTATTATGATAAATTGGAGATTGGGAGAGAGAATTATTCTAACGCCACGGACCGCGCGGCTACACAAATAATGATTCACCGCTCTCCCACCACATGGATAGTGAAATATCTCGAAAACGGGTTCACGGAAATTAAAAATGTCAACACAGAAATGTGTTTAAAATAAAACGTTATCTGTTCATGGCATTTGAAAATTTAGTAGCTATTCGAAAATCAAAAGTGCAGAGTAGTGGTTTCATTCCCAAAAAATAACGTTATCTAACGTAACATTTCAAAGTTTAAACCGTTTAAAAAAGATCATTGAAAAAAGTTAATAATTTCCGAGACAATGAGCGTTTTACGTTATTTTGATTTTTATTATTATTCCATCATTATGGAGCGAGCCAAAATAATGAGTAAAATTTTACAGACTTTAAGTTATCTATCCTATACATACTGGAAACGTGTGCTTGATAATTATTGATTACAGGTAAATTGTGACGCGTGATGATATTAATTTAAAAATGCAAATACGTTTTATGCGTTTATATATAGAAATAAAAAAACCTAGTGGAGTATTATAATAGTCGGGCGTGAACAATACAATAAACATTTGTACTATCCCGATTTGTTCGCCTATACATGCATATATATCATCATAATATAATATACGTACCTATATAATGTTAGACCGGCAAAAACTCGAACAGCAGTATTGAATATTTTTTCGAAGTCCTATATGCGGTTTGTCCGATGGATGCGGCGTTTTCGTATGATACACGAGTAGATACTATCGGCGTCCGATCGTAACGTGTGTTCGCACGGAAGTGTGCCTAATAACGACAGTAATTTTATTATATTATTCCGTTGATTTGATCGTATGAGAAAAAAACAAATATAGGAACGTTCCCGAAGTGCGGCTCGTAGCCCATGACCGGCAACGCGTCTGATATGTGCGCTCGACGACAACTGATTAAAAAAAAAAAAAACAAAATAAAAAAAAAAAAAAAAAAAAAAAACTCGACGGCTGCTCATAATAAAATATCAGTATAGTACATTCGGATAATAACAAAATGGTCGTCGACCGCGATAAGGATGTCCCCCGTAATGCAGTCACGCGCATTTTCTATCAGTTTGGAAACGCGTAATGTTCGCTTTATTATTATTGTTTAACGCCGCACCGCGCTATAATACTATAATAATAATTGTTATAATAATTGTTACTATTATTACGACAACTACTTAAACTACTACTGCGGCAGCGCGGCGGGAAGTAAATCGACGACGTTTTATCAATTCCCAAATAACGATAGTCTTTATATTATTCGCTTTATCGATACGTTTATTATGTTATTATATTTGTATTGACATTGTATACTATGGTTCGTGTCTACATGACGCTAGTTCGGGTAAACTTTTAACTATTCAAAATTCTCAAAAACCGAAATCAATAAAACGGGGGACGTATTCAGCAATTACTTGTACGTGTCAACAAAGTATAACTCAGACATCGACAAAACTATTTCGATTTTCAATTCAAAAATACCTAAAACCTCTTGTGAGCAACTTTTTAGAGGTTGAATTTCGAAAATTTGGTATGAAAGTACTAACTACACATGGGCCCGTAGTTCATCCGTTTTCGCATACGTAAATTTTCAGACCTCTGTGTGCAATAGATTTGTCTATGCAAACAAACAGATAAATATTTACTTTTATTGATATAGATATTGTTATACAATTATGATATTTCACGTATTATACAGATATTCACAGGTAACTTACTTAAAAATTAAAATATCTATATAAATAAAGAAAAATCCGAAGTACAAACATAGATAATGTTCTTATTAAGCAGAGTTTCACCGAAACATTGGTTTCCAACATTTTCGACACAATGGACCACTTAGAAAAGTTTCGATATGCCGCGTACCACTACGACCTGCTAATGACATTTTTTTTTTTCTACTTCGTTTTTATTTTTTATTTTATATCGTTTTCAACGGGTAATAATAACATAAGTTACGTCATTATGATGCATTTCATTTTCAATTTATTTAAAAATTTATAATTATAAACGCAATGAAAAAATCCGACAACCACTATCAATTTTTATTGAATACTTTTTTCAATTTTTTAAGTATGGATCTCTACAACACAATGTCTCGCGGATCACCGACGGTCCATGGACCATAAGCCAGGAACCATTTTAATACTGAGCGAATGTGCTATGTTTCTTGTTTAAGCCAAAGACAATATAATATACCAGGTGATTCATTTAAGTGGGTACACTCATTATATCGGAAAATATTAACTTTTTCCGGAATTTGTTTTCTAGAAAATTTAAGAAACCGTTCGGTCGCCCGTGTCAAAAGAATTAATAGACAAATTATCAAATCTTTCGCCGAATAGTAACCCATGAATAATAATAATAATAATAATAATAATAATAATATTTTTTTTTAGATTCTGAGCGTTTTATTTATTTACGTTTTTTATTTCATCTTTATCATCAAAGTAACCCATAAATCAACAAATATAATTCGATTTTCGTACTTAAATGAAAATAACCGTGTGTCACACCCGTTTAGGACTTGAATACGGAGAAACAAGTAGTTTGCTGCATTTTATTTTTGATCTAGAACTAGATGTATGCAAAGTTTAAGCTCAATCCGATCAGTAGTTTAGGCAAGAAGTGGTCTCAAACATATATGCAAACCATCATTAGCATATTTTATAATATTATTATAGAACTATAGTCACGTGGGTTTAGCGTATATTTTAATTTTCGGTAGATCGTAGATGTTCATACATTTTGTTGATATTGGAGAGTTTCAGAATCTAAAATAAATTGAATACATGTTACCAGGTTACCTATTACATTTAAACGTTCATGTAATAAATAAAAAAAACCACTATTTATCTCTTATCTGTGTTTCTAACGAGAGCGAATAAATCAATATAAGAGAATCGAAACGAGAAAATTATCTCTGAGCGATACTTAACGGGAGAATACGATTGTAAGAAGTAAACGAGGGTCGATAATGCCGAAATGTCGCAGTCCCACGCAGGATCGTCGGAAAATCTTTAAAGTTTCCACAACAATAATAATAATAATAATATGTCGTTTGACCCGCTCGAATCCACCAAACGGGCCGGGGTAACTAATATACACTATAATAATAACTATTAAGCAAGTTTTTCGGTATAAGACGTGGTAATATTATAACATTATAATAGGCACAAAAGGCGGTTTATAGCATCAGGTATGTCCCCGATCGCGTAAACTATCCAACAATTTTCGCTGTACAACTACCATGTTTTGCGAACAAATCGAACAGCTGACGTTATACTTAAACCGCGGTGAAATCGCCCTTACCAAAAATATAACTCTAAGACCATAATATTTCCATATAAGCTTAGAGTAATTGTTATGATAATAGTTCGTTAGAGAAAAAGCGCGGTTTCAGGACCACAACAGAATAGTTAAAAGACGTGATGTCTTCTACGAACATACGTACATTTACAAAAAAATGTTTATTATTTTTGTAGTATTATATTTTAATGTCTAATATAAAAAAAAAAAAAAAAAAAAAAAAAAATACAATAACCTTTCCCGTCAAAATTTGATTTACAAAAAAAAAAATACTTACGCTTTAGGTTATTTTTATTACCATCTATAGCTTATGATGAACATCCTGTTAAATTTCTAAACATCTCTGCAAGACTATAACAATTTTATTTTGATATTATAAAACTAAGTAAATCGAAAATATAAAATGCTTATAAATTTGTGGTGGTCGAATGATTTTTTCATAGAGGGAGGGGAGATAAGGATGAGTTTTACGAATTATTATTATTTGCATAATTTTTTATATCAAATTAAATAATTAAATAATTTGTTATATTTTCTATTATAAACAAGAGAATTTTAAGCGTGCTCGCATATTTGTATGGTTAAATTATGCATAAATTCAAATTCTGATTTTTAAGTGCAGTAAAAGACAATATTTTCGTATAATTAGATTTTAAGGAGTAACCTGTGGTGATAACAAATTTTTCAAACGTGAATATATATGTTTTGATGCGAATTGTCAACCGAATAATTTTTTCAAGAATTTTGATGTATCGTAATTTGTAATTTTGAGTGAAAAGTTTTTGAGTTATTTTGCTCTAATTACTAAGAGGATAGCCTTTTATAGAGATTGGTTATTAACTGTTTGTTAGGAGTTGTGTATAGGCAATTTCTTTTTTTATTTCACGTTATTATTCATGTTATTTTACTTTAGTATTTGAAGAAGAATAACTTAGATCATTTTATTTAAAATTTTGATTACAATACGTCAACATTTTCAGAAAAATCATTTAATTAATAGTTTGCATTAAAACATGTTCTCATTTGCAAAATCACATTTGTTATCGTTACAAGATTCTCACTGAATGTTGTGAAAAATCTAAGTATTCAAAACTATCGTTTTTTTTTGGATTACACGTAAAAATTCCAATGATCAGAATTTGAATTAATGTATAACGTATCTATAAAAAATGGAGTAAATTAAAAACATGTATATTAGAATAAATATTTAAAAAAAATAAGGTAATGGGAAGAGATATCCTCCTCATCCTCTATTATTTCTCTCCGTTTCGCTAAAATATTTTGAAAATTTGACCATGTTAATAAATATTTGTAATGTGACAAATAGATCCCGCGTAATCGAGATCCCCGTAAATATTCTGGTAAGAATTTATACCGGGTCAGAGACATTCATATCTCGAGACAATAAGGTCCCCAGTCATTTAGATCCACAACATTTTTAGATCTTGGTTATATGGAGACAAATAGATCCATTTATTATTGATCATGTTCGATAGTTATATATTAAATATGAACATTATGATTAATACTTTATCAGTGGCTCATTCATCAAACAAGTTAAGTAATTTTGAACTTACAAAGAAACGTCATGACATGGATTCAAAAATATAAGTTTGACAAATACCTAATTCTATTCAATTTAATTTACCTAATGTTAACTTAATGAAATTGGTATGGTGTTAATATAATATTGTTTGACAAAATTTAAAAAACTTATTCACACAATGATTTAATTATTATTACCTAGGTACTGGATTTTCGAAAATTCTATTTACCCATAACCATATAATACCATATGCTTCTAACTTCATGACAATATAATACATTGTAGAACTTAAATGACACTAGGTTGGGGGTTCTGGCAAGTGCTAAGTTCATATTGTTAAAATTATTGGTATATTATTTGAAAGTTCAAAAAAATATTTACCTATATAACTATCACATATTTTGATAATTGTATATACTAATAACATTCGGATATTTGGACTTTTAGATCAAAATAAGATAATTTGATCCCGATACAACTAGATCCACACTGTTACCAAAGGTGTAGTTGGGATCTAAATGACCCGGGTCCTTATTTTTTCATACACCGAAAAATTTAATATACATATTTTATGGTCATTTCTCTATGATTATTTTAAACTAAATTAAAAAAAAAAGACATCCTAAGATTATAGGGTAAAGTGTAGCCACTGTTATAAGTACTTTAATGTACACCTTTAAGCAACAAAAATTCGTTCAGAAAAGATGGTCCATTTTGAATATCGGAGTTAGATTTCTGGTAAGAAAGATTTTTACAGGTAGAAAAAACTAAAAGCATTTGTCATAGTTAAACCAATACCTACTTGTTTACAATAATATCGTTTATAACAATGTAATAAATCATAAATAAATAGCCTTATTAAAATATTCATAGAATGTATAGCTAATTATAATTATGCATTTTAAACGAGTCTTTAAATAAAAATAGTATTCTTATTGTAATTGTAGATTATTAAATAATAAACAAATGCAATTGTAGACAATTAAATGTTAAAAATATGACATTTAAAAAAAAAAAAAAAAAAAAAAAAAAAAAAACATTATTTGTTGTATCGTTCAACTATTTTGTGTAAAGATGTTATGCGGTAGATATTTTTTTAATAGATCTTCTCTCCAAACACCTAAAGCGCAATACTTACAACCTTTTTTTTTTGTATATCCAATACACTTGGAACATTTAAATAAAAAAACAAATATTAAAGAGAAAGAGAGAAATGTGAAAAAAAATGATTTTATTGTTCGATAAGTTTTATCCATTAAATAACATTGAGAGGGTAATAGAAAACAGGTGGTGCAACTTAAAGCTGTTACTAAGGTTACTGTAAAAATGTTACTTAAAAAAAAACCCATATTAATATATTTATAATATAGAGATAAAAAACATCTAAAAACTCGGAACAAAAGTCTCCTTTAAAAGAAAACCTTTATTTCATAAAATTTTCATTTTGAAATTAACAATATTTCTTTTCAGTTTCACTTTTTAAAATAATACCTATATCTACAAACAGACGAATAATTCAGTAAAATCCTCTCGAAATATAGGAAATAAATATACAAATTAAAATGTATACATAAAAATAAAAAATAAATAAATGAATAAATACGTCGCCTGGAGTATTATGACAAGTGTGTTATACGACCGGTTTCGAATTAAAAATTCATCGTCAGGTATATCACAGTCGAAATATAAAACGCGACTGAATATGAAAAATTAAACGAAGGGATACATTGTAATAATTTATTTTAATCGGAGAGACTATTTGAAATGGGTTATTATTAGACATAGATATGTTAAGAAATATAAATCATTTGGTTATTATTTATTGCCAATCTAAAATGTATTGATATTTTCAAAATAGGTTTGTATATTTAAAATATTTTTCAAATTATTTTTCTTTATTTCCTTATATATATATATATGTGTGTGTGATTCTTCTAAAACCGAATTGACGTATATGTTATTTTGGGTGTTTAATATCTCTAGGTCTGCAATAATATTAAAGCTTGTATTATGGTTTTGTTCTAAACAATTTTTAGCGAAATTTAAATTTGGAGCAGCCATTAATGTTAGAACATTATTAGATACCAAGGTTGCAAGTATACGTCCTAACTATATTATTATTGTATACCTCTCGATGTAAATGATCGGTAGGTACCGTGGCCGGTTTTAAGATTTCCAAAATATTAACACGAGATTATTACCACTTACCGGTACTATTATTTAGAGAGAAAGATTCTGCCCTGGGTGCGTAGAAAATTGTAAATACCCCATTTTAGACATTTACTATACTCGTATAATTATAATCAATATTATCACCGATTGTAGAACAACAACAACAATAATAATAGGTATAGTTTATTATTTTTCTTCGGCGTTTTAAAAACCATTTAGGTCCATTGCCGCAACGACCACTTGTATTCCTGTCCGATCTCTTTTTTTATCCATTTCTATTCCGTTCTCGATTCCAAGTTTTTCTAGGCCCTTGGTTATTCCATCCTTCAATCTTTATCGATAATGTCCTCTTGGCCTTTTTGTGCATGGTATCCATTTTATAAATTGACCAATTATTCTCTCTAATCTCTTTCTAAATAATAATAGTTTAATTGGTAATAATTATACTGGCCTTGTTTTTTTTTTTTTTATCGATAAAAAATTGATTACGAATCGTCAATTTTATTATATTATATTAATACGTGCTATTAAATATCATTATATTTTAGCGGCAAGTGCGTTATTATAAGGTTAAGTACACCGTAATATTATAATTAGGGCTAATTTCTGAAACCTTTGTTCGATATTTTTTCTGTTTTTTTTGTAATACATATTGAAGTAAATCGTATTGTGTTATACTCTAAGTAGATATTATTATTATAGTGATTGATTTTCTTTGTGTGAGAACGATTTATCATTGCATACCAAATATTATGATGATAATAATAATAAATAAATACTGTTTATTGCATGTCAGACACATTATTTTGGTTATAATGATAAAAAAAAAAAATATTTATTTATTAAATAATATTGATTAATAGATTTTATATTATAATATTAAATTGTACATATGGTATTATTTATATTATTAAATGAACCGACTACAGGATTAAAAATGTTCCTTAATTTCCGATGACTTACAATACACGCACGACATCTGTGCTCGATAAGTTGACGCTTCGATCATCTAGATTCTAGACTTACATTATAATTTTTGTTACCTAAAATTGTTTGTTAATTGCAGTCTTATCATAATAATAATATTGTTGCGTGATAGTGCGTAATGTGTCTTATCGGCCAATTTTTTTTTTCTTTTGGTACGAAACGTTTGTTTGAAACTTCAGTAAAACGTTTTATGAGGCAATGACCGCCAAACTAACAATAACATCAACAAAAACGTTCGTACGGCTCTATAAATGCCGAAGAATACTATGCCCTATATGGTCATTTTGTAAACTTTACACTTAAAGTAACAAAATCGTTGTAAGTGCAAACTCGAGAAAAATACTTCCCAACCTCTCCTTTTATTACGAGTTGAAAGAAAATACTAGTTGGATTTTTTCGACCTCCTATTTTAAACGCCGTCTAAAAACGTCTGTCTAACGCCGAAAGATATATTACGGAAAATACATTCGATAAACCGGAGAAGAGCCAGCAAAATAAATAATTTACTATTTTCGTTTGTAACTGAATATACGTATGTATTCCATTTGACGGAATCAGTTCGACGAAACTACACGATTTTAAAATATCAAAAACCTTTTAGTCATTTCATCACTTAAGAAACTACACATATACCTAATGAAAATACGTATTTTTTCGCCGGCTCTGTGTGTTTGTGCTAAATTTTCAGTCGTTCTAATCGATTTTTGAACTCTGGGCCGAGAGATATTATATGAGTGTGTGTTGTTTTATTTAAAGAAAGTATATTATTATGAATAGATTTTATAGTTATAAAAGTTAAAATGTTTTTTAACATGATGTTTCGTAAAACAAATAAATAATTTTATCAATTTTATGTAATAAAATTGTTAATATTAACGACTAGGTATTAAAAACCAAAATATTTGACTCCATAATCGCCCGGTGCCCCCATACAAAGCGATGGATTTATTTCACACATACCATGATATAAATAAATAGTGCAAACACAAATATATTTTTTTAGTCAAAAATATTATTTAGGACTAAAATAGTTAATATAGTTATAATCAAGGCTTCAAAACGTTATTTATAACGATATAATGGAAAAATCAAATACCATTAAACATAATATTTAATGAGTGACTATGAATAATAAACGTGGGTAACTGTAATGTAAAAAAATAATTGCAAATAACTTTATTCAAAAAAAAATGTGTACTTATTTATTTTACGTATCACCACTATATTAAAATTTTGACTTCAAAACCGACTGGTATTATGTAACAATTTATAATCACGTGAAAAATTGAATAAATAAGTATATAAAAAAAATGTACATATAAAAATAAAAAACAAATAAAAAAATAAATGAGTCTACCGGAATGTTATGATAAGTGTATTATACGACCGGTTTCGAATTAAAAATTCATCATCAGGTATATTACAGTCAAAATGTAAAATGTAATGTAATGTAAAAACATGTTTATAATTGCTCTACAACGCTAGAAAATTAGTGTTTTACTTGAGGTGCCAGGGATATTTGTTTTAAATTATTATTAGAAACAAGATTTTGATCAAAAGACTTACCAATTAAAAGCTTTTAAAATTTTAAACGGCATTCTTTTCACGTTTTGGATTTATAGTCGGTACCTACTAAATTCAGAGTTAGAAAAACAATGCGGAATAAGTATATAACGTACGTGACACGTGGGCATTAATGCAATTGTTGTTGATCTTTTTGATCTAAAATACTAATAAACATAAAACTATTACATTGTACTCAAATTTTTTTTGAACCATTAAGTACAATATAAAATGAATAAATTAAATTTTTAAGGATTTCTGTTTAGTAAATCATTTTTATCCACATAATATAGTACCTGCCAAATAAAAAATAAATAAAAACTAGATAATGTGAAATGCCTAAAAATAACTTAAATATTTTTAAAATATTCAAAAAATTTCATCATGCTTTTAGAAAGTTTAATGTCAATATTTTAAGAAAATGTTTAGGTTTCTACTAAAATTTCAACTGAATAACAACAAAAAATAAAATTAAAAATAATAAATCCATTATTCCCGTGCATTTTCTCATTTTTTTAAGTTTATTCCTGGTTTTAACCAATATTATTAAGAAAGTTAGACGGAATATTAAAAAACGGCATTCTTATTCACAAACAGAACACAAATTTTTTTTCAAAAAAATATTGGAATAATGTTCAACATGATATTACACATAAAAAAGTAAGAAAATAACAGAATATATTATACAAAACTATAATCATTAAAATATTTATATTATTAGTAGAATTATTAATAAGCAGAATTTTGGACTTACAGCATTTGCTTATTTGTTTATGTTATGAGTTCAAATATGAAATTTAAAAGTGCTTTTTTAAGTACCTTCTTATTCTTGAACTTTAGAGTAATATTTCTGGTAGAAAATATTGTGGAAACTACTTTGAAAATCAAAAAATGATTTCCTTAATGTACCAACTAAATCCAAAATGCTATTAAAGAAAAAAAACGCTTTTATATATTTTTTTTATTGGAGATTTTTGGTAGAAAATTTGTTAACAGACAATAAAAAAAGAATCGCACACATCATATTTCATTGTAAACCTACAGTGCGTTCTTCGGTCCGTTCGAAATCTAATAAAAACCACTAATGGCCTTAACAAAATATTATATTTTATAATTATAATCATTTTTCTCTCCGTGTTACCCAACTGATTAACCATAAATGCACCCACCGCAAACATACTGGGTCGTCCCAGTAAATGTAGGCACCTAAATAGTTTGTGTAGGTAGGTACATATTTCGAAATATTTCGAATCACAAGTCGTATATGTACAGATATATTAACGGTTTCATAAAATATATAAATAGTCGAAACTGTACTCCAGTAGAGTATCAGTTGTCATCGTGTGTTATTCGTTCGATAAACATTATAATATTTAACCCGATATTTTGTACAAATCAAAGACAAAATGATCAGTCTATTTCAGGTAAGCCAATAGTGAATATGATGATTATAATGCTAACTGATTAACGTATAGAGAGACATTTTGTTTAAAGTTTTAATATTTTAATGGAATTAATTCATTTGTATTTTCGTTAAATTTATCGAGTAAAAACTATTGTTGTAATAAGAATTAAAATGTTTTTAATAATACGCCTTAACACAATTCAAACGATTACCGTCATCGTAATATATTATATTTTTATTCCATATTTACCGCGCTGATTTTTTAATATGTTCTCACGTTTGATAAGGGTACATTTAATCATTTTTTTTTTTTTTTTATAGCTAAAGGCTTGTAGTACGTTAAATTTTGTGATTTACATATATTTTGGATTTTTTTTTCATATTTACCTAATATTGTTAGTCTGTTTGAAATAAATTAATGTGACTAGGTACTTCCTCATATTATTATCACAAGCGAACCGGCGTACATCATAGGAATTCCTTGAGAAAAATGTTTATTCTAAAACGATGGACGTATTTTTTTTTTAAATTTAGTTTTATATAAATGATAATAATTAATTATTTTACATGTTTTAACTAAACAATACATTTTTCGTTGAGTTATATGATTAAAATAAATTTTTATTTTTTATGGAATCCGTATGAAAAATCACAGGACTTATTAAATCAGACACCTATTATCGCATTACAATATATTATACGAATATAAAATTATAATATATTTCATGGTTACCTTGATTTTTCATTTAATTGACCGTATAAATTAAAACTTATGCAATTATTTTAAAATGAAAATTATAAATACAGAATGATTTTTTTAACGTTAAACACTCATAATCTCGGAAAATTTTTTTTTTAGAATCTGTTTTATAGAAAATTTAAGAAACAAGCAGCTTCAAAATTTTACATTTATATTTTTTTTGTCATCCTAATTTGTGGGGGTGAAACGACTACATACTTTTGATTTTCAATTAGTAACCTATATAAAAATAGTAATGGTATGGATAATTAATAATAGTAAATTAATAATACATTTTGGTGTTGAAATTTTTAATCAAAGCTGCGTTTGTGTGGCCACATTGCACGCGGTGTACTAATAATGCACCACTACGACTCTCCTCTGATCCAAACTTAAAATTGGAATATCTAGTTAATAAATTGACGGACATCAAAATTTTCAGCACAAAAATTTATTTTAACTAATATTTCATCTCTCTAAGGCATTTTCAATATACGTCGTCATTTGAAAATCAAAATTAGGAAATCGTTTCATCCCAAAAAATAAGGGTGACAAAAAAAAAAAAAAAAATGATAATGTAACATTTTAGAACTATTTGTTTCTTAATTTAAAAAAAAAAATCATGGTTAACGATAAAAGAATCTCCTGTATATAAATAATAAATATATATATATATATATATATATATTTTCATGATGTAATCGTATATCTATGGTTCATATGGAACATGGTCTCTGAATTTGCGACAGCTCGTGTCACATCGTAAAGTGCGACGGTGACTTTCAAGACCACGGACATAGGCATTTTAATATTATTTCAGGAACATTTGTTTTTCGTTTTCTAGATCGCTGTGGTCGTTTTGGGTGCGCTGACGACACTGATAATGGCCGACCATCAGGCCACCTCGTTCGCCTACTACCATCCAATATTCCACCATACCGAACACCACGGACACGACTATTACGTACGTACATACGGTTTTTTTTCTTGTACGAACGATTATATAATATCGAAATACGAAAATTATTTCGCTCGATTCGATCAACAACATCAATCCGATCGGTAGACGCTGATATTTCAATAAAACATTCAGAACACTTAAAAAATAATTTTTTTTGGAAGTATTCAATATTGCGTTACGAATAGTTTTACAAAGCGCTTTATTTGCTAAACAAAACATAAATACTTTTTCTCAATCTCGTTTTACATGCTTTACTTTAAGGTGTGCGTTTAATTTTTCTCGAAAAACGATTTTTCGATCAGCGAAATTGAAAAAAAAATTCCAATTTATACATTTGAAATTTCCACCCTGTGGTACTCTTTTTTCCTCATTTCTAACGGTAAAAATATAATGCACATCTGAGTTATTTGTCATCATGTAATGTCTGTATTAGATTCTTTAAAGGAATCATACTTAATTAATTTTTTCTTTTTAACACATTATCCATAATATCCGAAACACTGTACGCTAAGTATTCGAAATATTTAAAAAATACTATAACAAATTTAACCCAAGTAAAAACGTTTTCATACATATTGTTTATTATGCAGTGCGTTTTCAATATAGTGTCTCACTATGTCTGTTATCTCGTGATTGATCGATTTTAATATCGTGAACTTGATTTACCCGAATTTGTTATTCAATCGAACCAATTTTATTTAGTAGAAAATGATTTCAGACGAAAGTGAATCGCATGCGAGTAATTCCCATTATGTGTAAAAATAAAAAAACCATAGATTTTTATATTTCTAACTGGAATTTTCTCTGTATAATACCATAGTCGCCGCCCAAGTACGAATTCAAGTACGGCGTCCATGATCCGCACACAAAGGACGAGAAAAACCAATGGGAGAAACGACACGAAGACGTCGTGCACGGTGGCTACAGCTTTGTCCAGCCAGATGGCCGCATTCGGAAGGTGACCTACACCTCCGACAAGCACAACGGGTTCAACGCGCACGTCCACTACGAACATCACGCTCAACACCCCCAACATTATGGCCATCATTATAACCAAGATTCATGAACTTATCCATCATATATTTACACGGCATTATAATAATATAAACGTTTTGTTGCAATTGTTTCGTTTTTGTACTATGTCCTTGAAATCGTTAAAAAATTATATGATGTGTAGACGAAAATACCAAATGTTTAAATAAAACTTTAGTAAACTATTCTTAAAATTCCATAAATAGATGGTGTTCAAATATATATGTTGGAATAAACATTTTAAATCATCGTCAACCCGTTGACGAGATATTTCACTCTTAAGTTTAGATCGGTAGAGAGTAGTGACCTATCTGGAATGATGAGTTATAAATACCTCCGTCATCAAATTTTTTGGGTTAGAGGGAGCCTGGTACCTATCTTGGAACATAAAAACGCTCCTAAAGAGGTGAAGAATTTGAAGAATCATTGAAGGGGTTATGAGAAATCTTAAGTGTGATCAAATTTCATAAACTTCCTACTCTCCCGATATTTTACCATACAGTTTATATTATTTATATGTACTTAAGAGTCCAATAGTAACCATTGCACCTCGGACAATTGGGCAAAGGCAGCTGACGCGTCTGTAATTTAAGTAAAATTGGAAACATTTTTCTAGTCATGGTATAAAAAACTTGTAATGCGCTGGAGGAAATTTGTTAAACTTCACGATGACTAAGTCAAAAAATAAGTGTTTAGTTTTGAAGTTAAGAACTTGTACTTTTATTTACTTTTCATTCCATATTGCTATTTTGTTTCGTTCGCGTTTACAAGTATATGTGTACCATTTTTCAGCCTGTCCTCGTATAACTCAATGTAATTTTTTGGGAGTGGAATGTCCCAGTCGTACTATATATCATTCAGATTATTACAATTCAGAAATGTAATAAAAAAAAACTCTTCTGATCAAATCATCATTAAAATTATACATAATTAAACTCACTTTTTCATTTAACTCCAAACAACGACCTTTCTGGAGCATCAACTAGATACAATTCAATTCAGAAAAGATGCCAAACAGTACACATGATACATCAGAGTAAGTTTTATTTTCGAAAAGATTTTTACAGAAAGAAAAAAAACTGTGTATCAAATAGGTCTTTTTTGATTTTTCAAGGGGTTTTCAAAATAATTGTGAAATAGTACTTTTAAGAACTTTTAAAATCTCATCTGTGACATACTGTAAAGCCCGTTTACTTTGCAATGTACTAAGTACCTACTATAAAGTATAACTGCTATTTAATTCAATCAAATATTTTAAGTACGGTGATTTTATTTTTATTTTAAAAATAGGGTAAAATACGTATTTAAAATTATAAAATTAACCTTATTTAAGAAAAAACACATCAAAGTATCCACGGTTTAAAGAAAGGTTTTCTTAAACAAAAATATGTAGGTATGCAATTCATGGTACGATTTTAATATTCGATTCTATAATAATATTGCACTTAATAGTAATGTTCATCATTTTTTTTTATGTTTTATACTTACAGTGAATTGTCTTATATAATAAATTGTTTGTTATTTTTGTTGGCATGAATATAAAAATATTATTAATTTACTTATTTTCTTTTGTATACATAATTTGTTGTGTTATTAGGTGTGCATCAGTTCTCTAACAAAGGATAAAAGTTTATAAAAATACTTCTTATAGTTAACTACAAGTTAATTAGTTTATAGTTTCCGGAAGCATGAGATATTTCAATACAACAATTGGCTCATCAGAATGTCCAAAAATGTTTGATGAATGTTCAAATTTTGTTGGAAGTAATAAATCAGTTTATCTTGCTCAAGGACAAAAAGTTTTTTTAAAACAGTCATTAAAATCTATTTTGAAAAATTGTGATAGTAATGTTGAATATAAACGACTGGTTAAATTTAATTTCAACCTACAAATTCGTCATATTCCCAATAGATGTAAAACGAAATCAAAGGCTCAACAGACTCGTTGTAATAAGGATCAAATATCTAGATATTGACACCAAAACTAAAAATGATCGATCACTGCGAAATTTTAATGGAATAGGACGCTAAACTATTTATGAAGTAAATATAATTATAATTTAAACTTTATTTTAATATTAGAATTTAAATATCAAAAAAAAAAAAAAAAACTTTCTAGGATAATAGGGACGGGACAGCCAATGTTATAGATTTATATTGTTATAATTTGATTATACCTGTAAGTAACTATATATTATTGCTTATGAAAAAAACGATTTTGAGTGGAGTTCAGTTGATAACTTTGTAGTAAAATAATTAAATAGGATTTATACATTTTCTTTATTAATATTTGTTTAATGTTGTACTGATTTTCCCAGTTTTCCTACGTTTTTCTCGGTTTTCCAGATTTTATTCCGGTTTTTTACATTTGCTGGGAAAACTTTTAGTAAAAATCGAAAAATAACCTTCCTAAAGTACTTTCCCAGTCATATTTCCTTTCAGAAAAATTGCTTTCATTATAAACTGGAGAAAGAAAAATGTCTCAAGAAAACATAAGGCCGTAATACATTTCTACTTATACCTACATTTCTTATATTTTCCCGTTTTTCCTGCGTTGTTTTTTGGTTTTTCAAATTTGATGAGAAAACTTCTGAAAATTTCAAAAAATTACCTCTCTAAGGTACCTACCTCTCTAGCGAAATTTCCTTTTTAGAAAAGGTGCTACACTAAAAAATCTGAGTAAGTCTTCTAGTAGAAAAGTTACGCATAGATAAAAAAAAAAAAAAAAAATTATAAGCTTTTCCGCACCATTCAGAATCTAAAATATTTAATTTATTGAAAGGTAACTATGCACAAGAATCAAAACTTCGTTTCAACGAATCTGCTATGGATACTTTAACGGTAATAATAAATCAAATCATTTGAGATCTTTTTGCGACGATACATTTGTATTTAAAATTGAAAACATTCCAAATAACGTCAGAGTGCGTGATTTAAGAGCCGTTTTAGCCGAGCACGGAGTTAAAACATTGTACTAGTATGATTCAAATAATATTAATTTGTATTTCTTATAAAAACCATAATATAAAATTAAATTTTTTTAGACAAATCACTTGGAAAGGCACCAGAGGTTTTGCATATTTGCATTACAGTAATTTAAACGGTTTGAATAAGAATCATATTATTGGTTCATTGCGTAAAAAACGTCTTAAACCTAATGGCATTGACATTTTTTATTACAAACACTCATTGTGACTGAATGTTAACTTTCTTAATTCCGTATTATGTTTGACCTATGGTCCATGTTAATTATATATATATATTCTATAAATAGAAAATAAACATATTTTTTTTATTATTTTGAATCTTAATTAAAATGTAATATATATTTTAATAAATGATTTAAGATGTAAAGCAGAACAAAAAATATTTAAAAAAAATTTACATTGATAATATTGATTTTTAATTTTGTACATTTTTATTAAAGCAGTTTTCGGTTAAATGGATGTCATACAGAAAAAAAATAAAAATAAAAATAGATATTAACATCATTGTAAAACGGTAAGCTTTTTCGCTCCACTCAGAATCTAAACGTGGAAACGTAATTATAGGTAAAACGGCTAATGTTCATGGCACTCCGTGGAGTTACCGATTTTATTGTTTTTAATTTTTGTAGCTAGGTTTTCCACTAGAATTTTAACTTTAATAGAAAGACGTTTTTTGTTCCTTTTTGAATCTAATTGCTCTCAAAGTAAGTTGTGTTTTTTGTTTTTTAGTAGTTTTCATAATAATTGGAAAAACTAGAAAAAGAATCTACAGCGTGTGATTTAATTATTTTTAATTTTTACGCTTATGTTTTCTACCAAAAATATTTGCTCCAATAAAAAAATCCAACAAGAGATCATTGTTGTTGCATTTTTAATCTATTTGGTGATTCAGAAAGTCTTTTTTTTGTTTTATCGTGCAGTTCATTTAATTATAGAGTAAACCCCCACCCTCCCCTAAAAAAACGTAGAAAGAACGCGGACGTTTAAAAAAATAATACTTTTTAAATTTTAAGTATAGCGAAGAATGTATTAGTTATTAAAAGATGTTTATTTTTTTTTATGTGAATACTTTTTCTAACAAAAAGCTTGCTCCGATATATACGATGTAGAATCTTTTTTGAGAGAAAATTTGTTGGGGTGGTACTTAAGGAAGGTCATTTTTCGATTTTCTCGTAACGGAACCAGTCGGCTTGGAGACCCGTTCTACCTTATCTCTGGCGTTCCGGTTGACAAAATCCACCGGTCTGGGGTCCCGTTTCGGATATCATTCATGTCACGGCGATAACCACATTTGTCAGAACGAGGTGAAGTACACGCATCAGTCATTTCACAAATAATCATATCCGATAAATTAATCGGATTTCGTTTTACACACAGATAGAGGCCCTGATGTTAGTCACACTTTAGTGATAGAATACCGAGATAATAAGTAGACAACGACTTTCTTTTCGTTCAAAAGTCAAATGCACAATGTTTCATCAAGATCGAAATAAAACGGCAAATTTGTATGAAAAATATCTTCAAATTTGAAAACACTTCTTTTCTATACTTTTTTAATATTATTATTATAATTTATACTAATAATTAATTATTAATTATTATTAATTCTAATTCATATTTTTAAAATATCTTATATATAAAGAACGAGATCCGTCTGTAACGTTTGTTTAATACAACGACCAGAAAATATATAATCCACTATGTATGACGGGAATACAACTAGGTAATAATTATTGTCAATAACTGTTTACATATTATCCACTTTCTTTATATACATATACTGCTGTATGTAACAACTGTGTGCAATTGTACAATTTAAAGTTGTGTGATGAGTTTATATAAATATATATATATATATAAATAGGTAGTGAAGATACTATTTCTATTTCAGTGTTAACTTCAGTCATACAAAATGAACCAACGAACAGTTAACAATTTACATTTTTCAAATTACAAAACTTTTATTTTGTGAAGTATAATGGAATTTATAATGTTTCTACGTACAACAGTTGAAAAGATATCATTCAAACATTTTTGTTTGAACATCCACTTGTTTAAATACATTATTCTCTGAAAAAAAGGCCATATTTGTTTGGTACTTCTGTCTAGTAAAAACACGCAATTATTAGTGTTTATTGGAAGATATTTGAATTCGTCTCCTTTTACACTATACCCCTTACATTATTTGTACATTTTAATATTTTCGTCAAATGGCAATAATAAAAAACAAAAAATAAACAATTCCAACAACAAAATGTCTATATTATTACAATTCATAATATATCATGTAAACAAATTATAACAGATCAATTGAATCACAATAGGGAAGTTCATGAATCTTGGTTATGATGGTGGCCATAATGTTGGGGGTGTTGAGCGTGATGTTCGTAGTGGACGTGAGCGTTGAACCCGTTGTGCTTGTCGGCCGTATACGTCACCTTTCGAATGCGGCCGTCTGGCTGGACAAAGCTGTAGCCACCGTGTACGACGTCTTCGTGACGTTTCTCCCATTGGGTTTTCTCGTCCTTTGTGTGCGGATCGTGAACGCCGTATTTGAATTCGTACTTGGGCGGTGACTGCGTTGGAAACAATTCCGGTAAGAAAAACGCGTTATAAACAACGTTATGATTAAGTCATTGTTGGGTTAAATTGTCTATCGAACCCAAGCTAGTAGTATCTTAGTGGTATCTGAATATTCTGTACATGTACTGAATGTGATAATCCGTAATTTGTTATCTTATAATAAGGATATAGAGATATTATCTACTAAATTTCTCTTTTAAAATATAAGCACCTACGTCTTACGTATTCAGAAACTATATTTTCTACTAGAGGAATCGATCTGATTGCATTACCTGGATATTAATCCAGATAAACTAAGTTCTCAATAATAATATAATGAAGTCAGCATTTTACAAGAAAAACCGAGGTGGATATTGAAATCCGCCATTACTTATCATTATAATGCATTATAAAATAATACATCGGTAAAGCTGATTACTACGTACTTGGGAGGCGATTGCGGTGCAGATAAATTCGTTTAGAAAAATGAATTACAAACATAATATTATTATCACTATGAAAACTAAATCTTTATAGCGGTGGACTTTCAATAGAATTTAGGTTAGATCTTGGCGATGTCAGTCACTCCTGGCATATTACGCTGAACTGTCCTCTTAGATAAATATCTCCAATATAATGAATTTTATACCGAATATGATAATACGATTAAAAAGTTATTAGCCTATAATGAGATTTGCCTATCTATTCAATATTTCACATTAAATATTATATAGGTACATATTTAGAAATTATTTTATACTGTTGGAGTTTATATTCTTATCTTTTAAAAAATGGTCTAGGTAAACAAATTTTACAATACTATTGTAATTATAATCTAACAAAAGAAAACAAACGTGAATTGGTAGGTTTTAAAAACACAGCGCGTGATCATATTATTATGATCATGTTTGAGAACGATTACTTATGAATAAAATATAACGATGATTGAGTGATCACCGATACATATTTATAACCAGCTACTATTTTAAAAATAAAAAATGTCGTCAAAAAATATTAGTTACTTTGCAGTCAACTAATTTTACGTACGTAGTAGTCGTGTCCGTGATGTTTGGTGTGGTGAAATATTGGATGGTAGTAGGCAAATGAGGTAGCTTGGTGTTCGGCCATTGTCAGTATCGTCAGCGCGCTCAAAACGACCACAGCGATCTAGAAATTGGTCAATAAATCAATATAATAATATTATAGTGATTAAATGCTCATAATCTCACGAGAATCGGTGTAATTTTACTTTTTACAATAGTAAAACAGTGGGCTGGTAGGTAATTACTGAAATATTCGGTAATCCGTATAATTATAATATAGCAATGGATATTTAATTTAAAAACTATATTGGTATTACGTGATAATAAATGTCTTTTTAAATTTATTTTTGCAAATTGAATACTTCAATAAAACACAATTACTATATTTTTTCTCGTAGCGTTGTTTAAAATTTAATATTATGGTGTATACATGTATATAACAAATATTTTTTTAACGTGCTAGTAATAGTTTTGTTGTTTTTTGTCACTCACCTGGAATAGATTGACCATTTTATGAAGTTTAATCGGAATTTAGCAAGTTAACTGAGAAACTGCAGTGTTTGGTTTTTGACAAACTGTTGACAACTGCAGACGCTATACTGATGACTACAACTGAAGTACCGTAATATTTATTTATACCAATTTATGAAATCAATATAATATAATACCACCCACTAGTTTAAAATATATAAAAGACATCATAGGTGGTACTATACGTTATCACCTGTATTATGTTATTTGCGGTAGGCGTGTTTACGGTCCACCAGTTAACAAAAATAAATATCAAGTGGATGTTAATAATTAGCAAAAAATTGTGAAGGCCGATATTGGTTTTGTTCGTTTTACACATGGATGACAATAATATATGTACGATCGTTTAATATATACGAATATTACGCAATGTCTGGAATTAATATCGATAACGGACGCGCTTAATGCGTACACACACACACGAAATGATATATTCGACGGGCCGCTGGTTATTGTTCGTCATCATCAGCGGTGGCGTGAAGTCGCTATTTCTGAAGTATTTGTTTTGTAAACAACTTTATAACGGGCAATTAAAATTATATAAGCTTATCTCATTATGTTTACCCATTTATACACCAAACACCAATTGAATCAAAATGTAATTAGTTTAAGTTCTCACTAAAAAAAAAAAAAAAAAAAATAAAAAACAAGTAAAAGTTAATTTTAAAATTTAAACAAATATTCGAGTAAATAAGTTATGATACATATTTTTAGAAAACATTAGTAAATTAGTAAATATTATTAGTAAAAAAAAAAAAACAAAATTTAGTAAACAATGTTTTCCTTAATTGAAAAAAGATTAAGTTTTAAAAATAACTATACAAATACACCATAATTGGCCAAAAAAGCGGGCGGGTATAGCCCTACCCCTGTGGACGCCCATGGGCAGGTTTATGCGAAATCGAAGGGAGGAGATCTGGTCGAGAAGAAATTTAAATCAAGGGTGACCGATCCAAAATATTTGGGATGAAGGCAAAAAAGAAGAAGACTATTTATTTATATGTATTTTGTATTCTAATATTTAGACTTTTATGTAATTATTATACAGGACTCGTGTGGGTATTCCATATTTCTGCATTATATTAATCATGAATGGTGAGAAATTTAATATTTTATATACATTTTTGGTTTAATTTTGAATTGTTTTGGATCCTATTCCCCGTTTTTTATGTAAACTAAAAATAATTCACGTCACTAAAAAAAATCAAGAAAAAAGAACTATGTAAGATAATTGGAATTATAACAAATAAAAAATATAAGCGGTTGTTTCAAAAATCGCAACTTAGTTTCAGTTAGCGTCAATATATTATATACAAGAGGTGCGAAGTATGTTCGTTTTTCTAATTATTATTATGTTTAAAGTCAAGTTGTTTAATTTGTTTTTGTTTTAATAGACTTCTTATTTATTCATCGAAGTGTATTTTTTCATCAAACTATAATAATAACAGTATTATTATAGTTTGCATAGTAAAAATTGCCACATTTTTACATTTTTCACAAAACAACCAACCATAATAAGTATTAAAATAACGGCGAGTATTTATTTTATGAAGAATATAATATTGCTAATCCATTCAAATATATATATCCAATTAATAAGATATTTAAATATTATGGTCTTCTATTTTACTGTAGCCGTTTTTCTACCAGCAGTTTTACTTCAACTTATAATGATGGCAATTTTTCCGAAAGGAAATTTCACCAGGGAGGTACTTTAGAGAGGTTTTTTTTTCGATTTTCTCAAGTTTTCTCATCAAATGTGAAAAACCGAAAAAAACGGGAAAATGTACGAAATATATATTTATATAAAATTACGATTTTTTTTGTCAAGAGTTTTCCCAGTAAATGTGTAAAACGGGAAAATCGGTACATTAAACAAATATTATTAAAGATAATATATAATGCCTATTTAATTAATTTACTATTATATGACACATGGTAGATTGTTGACAGAGCATCACTCTCAACTGAACTTCGTTTAGAATCGTTTTTTCGTTAGCAATGGTTAATCGTTGCTAAAAGATATATATATATATTCAAATACCTAAAACAGTGGCTGCACTCGTCGCCATGATCCTAGGCCGCCTTTTTTTTTAAATTAATTATTTAAATTACCTATATAATATATTATAATTATTAATTTATAATTAAATAATCCTAATTATAATATGAAGCGTTTTTGGTTTTTAGATTGTATGTTTTGACAAATTCTTTATCCACAAAAAAAAAAAAATTAAAAAAATAGAACATAAATTTTATAAATGTAAAAAAATAATATTTTTGAAAAAATCTATTTTTATCTTTATAAAAGTATAATTATCTTTTATCTTTATCTAAATAAATGTTGGATTAGCTTTTCCCAACACAGAATACGAGTTCCTATACTTAAATGAAAATTGAAAATTAATAAAGAATGCAAATGGTTAATGATGAACTATAAATACTATTTGATATCAATAAATAACTTATTAATCAGAACATAAATGTTCTGTCATATATTTTTCTATAAATATTAGATACTTATAAAATATAATTAATAATATTGTTTAGATTTTGAACGGAGCCGAGAATGTATAGGTTTTACTATGGTTTTGTGTTTTTTTTTTTTTTTATATATCTATATATATCTGTAAACACATTTAATATCAAAAACCTTGCTCCAATCATGAAAAAAAACAATGACAAGAGTCTTTTTATGTTGAACTCTATCCCTAGTTGGTACATTAAAAAGATCATTTTATGATTTTTGAAGCATTATTCATCATATTTGGGAAAAGGTAAGGAAAATACATTGGAAAAACGGAACAGTTTAGGGCATTAACACTTTCATTATTTCCATTATTGATTTTTGTTGCGATTAAGTTAAAAAAAAAAATCGTAGATATCTGCAATTTTGTTAAAAAAAAACTTTTGATGCTGAAACATTTTTAAATTGTTAAAAGATATTTATAGGCGTTTGACATTTTTGAGCTTTTTAGTTTTTATTTTTTTTAATGCAGATAATAGTATTTAGTTGAACAGAAATGCTTGGTAATTTAATTGAGGATTACTATAAATTCATCTTAGTGATAAGAAAAAAAACTCAAATGTAATGAAGTATTTTTATTTTTTTATAAGCGTTTTAAGATCAAATTTTTATGAAAATCGTAAGAATAACAACTTTTCAAAAAATGTATAACCAAACCTTGCTCAGAATCTTTTTTCATTAGCAATGGCTTATCTTTGCGTACAGATGAGAATTAAATAACTTTATGTATTCAATTTTCCCAACTTCCCACCTATAACAATGGTACACCAATCAGCAGTATCAACTCTTATTTTTAAAATATACCTTAGTGATACAGACCGTGGGTACGTCATTGCATCGTTGTCGACCACAAGATTCCATGTCCTGCATTATTCTCTGTACGGTACAGTTTAATTTCCGCTTTTTCCCTTTCGATGAATTCGTCTGAATAGAGCTGATATCGTTTAAATCAGCGGAGTCGAATATCATTATCGGGCGATAGTCGACTACCCAAAGGTCGACACGGAAACATAATATATATATATATAATATTATGACGTGTACATTGTTGCAGATTCGAAATACCATCCGTAACGGAACACTACTATAATTATAATACATTTATATACATTATTGATTGTAACAGTATGTGATAACGTTTTAACTCGATGATAACTCGAAATTCTTTCACAAGTTTTGAAATAATATTTTGGACAATAGCAAATTCAACACGTCAAGTCATTAAAAAAATAATAAGATTGTTATTGAATAACAGCTATTGGAAATAGATATACATGTATATAATTTATTTTATTTAAACCATCTAGGCAGAAATTGTATGCAACGTTAGATCATTGCAAATGAAAAACAATTTTGAGCAGAGATCAGTTCTGTTCAAATATTTTTCATTTAAATTTACTGCAAAATAAATAACAATAATTATCATTCAAACATATCGAATCTATTAAAAATTTGAACTTGAAATAGTTATGAAAATGATATTACGACATTATATTATCTTTCTTTTTACCACTTTCTTCAACTCATGTTGAACATTGTAATCAAATTTTTGAATATTTATGCGGAGAAAAAAATGTTTTGGTCACATAAAAGGAAAAACGGCCTGTATAATGTTGTTGATTTTTAGTACTTTCGTTCAAATTTTAACATAAAACGTTTATGTAAATAAATGTAGACTACAGACTGGCCAAAAATGTAACTACCAAAATAACAACCTATGTTGGATCCTTGCATACAATTTTCGATCATTTATATAGGACGAATCCAAAACCATAAGACCCACATAAAACAAAAATTAAAACATACTACCTGATTGATTTGCTATTAATAGATAATAGTGTAAATAATAATAATAATAATAATAAAAATAATAGGCTTCTTGTCCGCGACAACCAAATTGTCTTTCATATCACCAAAGCAACCCAGGAATAAACAATAATAAATGAATAAACAATTAGATATTCTTACCAAACCTACCTAAAAACCTAATTGTTGGAATTTTCGAAGGGATCTCTATTTTTTTTTTTTTTGGAAAATAAAATACAGCCAATGTTTTTCGCAAACAATGTAGCTTTTTATTGGCGAAAGAAGTTTTAAAATCGGTCAAGAAGTTTTTGAGCATATCCATTGTAAACATGTAAACTTTTATCTTTACAATGTTAGTATAAATAGCTATAAATAACTCAAAAAGGCTAGAAAATGTTTAAAACCCTTCCACGTCTACGATATATGAGTAAACGATGAAAATTTAAAGTCCAAGAAAACACAAGAAAATAAACCAAAATCAATAAAACTCGTTGTTTCATAAATAATCCAGGTTTTTCTAATATCCTTCCATTATTCAGAAAAGTGCAATAGAAATTAAAAACTAACTGACCTGTGCAATGCGCCAACTATAACAAATTTGCTAACAAAAACACCATATGAAGTTAATCTGAAAACTATATTTTCAATTCCAGATTTCTAGTAGGAAATATTTTGTTTAAAGACCAAAATAAAAATCGCATAATATCATAATTAAATATACATTACTCGTTTTGCTCAGAATCTAAACGATTATTATCGGTTCATTATTTCGATGATGATAGACGAAATTTTATTATTGAGGAAAGTCAAATATCGAAGGTCCGTTAAAAAAACCGAATGATTTGGAATTCGGTAAAGAAACTCATAGGACCGTGACCACCTATATAATAAGGTTTTGAGAACTCATGTGGTCGTAGGTAAGGTTGGATTAAACCGCCACAGCCCGGTTGGGAAACCATGTTTTAAAATAATTATAATGATTACTGTCGACAAAATATTGTACACTATTTGTGTAGGCCCGTTATGATAAAAATATGTTGCAATCGTACTCAAAATAGATATAATCCAGTTGGCCTACAAATAGGTGTGGTAATTATTAAATACGTTAATTTTAGAGAAAAAAAAATAACTATTGTTTAATTGTGGCGCTACCCGTCGTATTAATACTGTCGTTGATGATATCATAATCTATACCACGTTGTACATTATGTAGGTAAATAATAGTTGCCGATAATAGGTAGTCTTAACTATGGGAGTGGGTTGGCTGGTATAGTGGGCAGAATAAGAGAGATGATGGATTCAGATGATATATGACCGGCAGAGAGCGGGAGATAGAGAAATAAGTATAGTTGGGATTAAAATGCTGGTAGCCGGCGGTTATTGATTCCCCGCGAAATATTCGGGAAAAAGAAAACTTTTATAAAATTAACATTTTTTCAAAAGTAGATATGTAAACTATGTTAGACAAAAAAAAATAATAATACTATCTGCAATAATTTTTGATAGACACCTTATTGTAGGGTCAGCTATATTATTGAACAGTAACAAAACGATTTGAAATTCCATTATAAACAACGGTTTGTTTATATGTATTATCTATTATCGGTGTTTTAATAAAAATTCATAAATTTGTAAATATCGACGATTTTAGCGGGACGTATACGAGTGTGGGTACTAAATTTAAAGTTTCGGTTTTAAACTTATGGTCATTTTCATGTTGGTCTTAACTTTTAGATTCGGAGCGTAGCGAAGAATGTATTGATTTTACGTTGATATTTTTTTTTGTTTATCTGTGTACAATTATTCTATCAGCAATCTTGCTCCGATTTTCAAGTATATTTTTTTTTGAAAAGAAATTATGTCTGGGTAGTACTTTAAGCAGATTATTTTTCGATCTTTCAGTCGGTTTTCATAATAAGATAGAGTACGGAGCATTAACTGATATTTTTGTTTTTATAATTTCATATTTGCATAATAATTTTAGATCATATACAATGAATAGAGCCGCAGCCTATAAATCACATATAATATTGATGATGTTCATGTTAATGAAGAGTCGCCAGGCGACTAACCTTTAGTATGCATGTTTATCAGCGACTAGGCGCATATTAATCTCATAATTATGATATAATAATATAATCTTCATAATTATCGATACATATATATATATATTTTTTTTTTATCTAAAATGTATTATAGGTACTTTATATAAATTTCAGTTTATTACCAATTCAATAAATTCAAATTTTAATACAGTAAAATGTTTATTTTTACTATCGACGAATGACGACGTGGTATGCTTTAAGACAAAGAGTCTGTTATTAAGGTTATTTTGGAAGATAAGGAGCTAGGGCACGGTAGTAAATATAGGTAGATGTGGAGGTCGAGCACATTAAGATAAGTATCTGAGCGGAACATAGGCGACGGAGGAGATAAGAAGAAGGTTATGCAATCAAAGTAATAATTAATGTAATAGATGAAATATACGACGCCAATGCCTATTAATCGTTTCATTGTTTTTTTCTTCTTTTTATACGTACTAATAGCTAGGTACGCAATTATATTGAAACGTGTCTGGTATAGATTACATTTCAAGTATCACACGATTTAAAGGTATTGCGCAGGTCTTATTGATTAGTTTAAACACGTAACCTATACGTAATAATGTTCCGTGTTCCTTGTTAGCCGGTCTATATAGATAGACGCAAGTTTTGTTGAAACCAAAAATCATCTCAATAATAAATAGTAACTATGCGTGTCGAAATTCGATATAATTTCTGGACGGTATTGGTTGTAGTGTCAGTGTCCATCGTGACAACGTGCGTTTTACCGGTGGAAAATGCGAGAATATTGGCCATCCAGACGTACGGGGGCAAGAGCCATTGGAATTTTATGAGCGCCTTGCTCCGGGCGCTCACTGACGGTGGGCATGCTGTCACCGTATTCACACCATTTCCGGAGGGCGACCGGGACAACTACACAGAAGTAGACACTTCCAACATACTTCCGTTAAAGGTCGGCATAGACATCATGACACTGAGAAGGCTGGTGGGTAATGCGTACACGCTGGTTTCTCTTAATATGGAGATCGCGAAGTTAAACTGTGACAATATTTACAATGATCATCGGCTGACCGATCTCATGGCCAAAGGTCTCGACGGTCATTTTGACGCGATCGTCATCGAACCCGGTCTGCCCTCGTGTATGACTTACGTGGCGGCCGGGACGAGTTTGCCGTTAGTATACTCGGCGCCTATGCCAACCATGTGGCTCGCTGACCGCAGGACCTTTGGTGACGTGCCGAACCCTGCGGCCGTATCCTCGATACTCGCCCGGCACGCTGTCCCTAAAACCTTTGCGCAGCGGTTTTCCAATACTTTGCTGACACTGTTTGCCGAAGCTTATATCGCTCTACGCGCCTCTACCACGAAGTCTGTAGTTGACGACGGCCCGAAGCCATACGACACTTACGATGTTCCGGTCCCGCCGTCTATTGTGTTTACAAACGGCCATTACATAAGTGACGCATCAAGACCGATCCCGGCGAACGTCGTTAACGTGGGCGGTATTCATTTGAAACCACCCGAGAGAATACCAAAAGTACGATGAGGGTCGTTCACAAAGAAAGATTACAATATAAAGTAACTGCAGCAAGCCGTGATATCGAGTAACGAGAGTATTCCCTTGTGCGTCATGTGTCGTGTCGTGTGCATATATGCTGATGATACAAGTAAATTAATACCGAACACTGTAATCCGAAAAAGCAAAAAAATCTGAAATCCAACTGTAGACATTTGTCGTCGCTGGAATACTGAATTAACAGTGAGCATTCTATAAAGGTGGTATCCCGACCGCCAATATTGCGTGTCGTCTGGTGGGCTTTCTGTCGTATTCTGATCGGCCGTCGCAATATTGTTAACCAGCGGTGTAGTGGAGGGTATATGTGAGTATTCAGCGTATACCCAAAACGCTAAAATTCTTAAATACGTATAGGAAAGATGATATAAAACAAACACGCAGGTATACGATCGTAGTCTGTTGGATGATGACTATAATATAATATATAATTTGACTCCCCGGGCGTTACCATTGTTATACCTATATGGCACGTCTTCAGTAATAAATATAAAATGATAAGGCATTGTCATTAAGGCATGGGAAATCTTAAAACCTTCCGAACGTCATAACTTCACGGTTTTCGCATGGCTTACCTATTTATAATCGGAAGTAATTTGTAAACTATAAATATTGAATACTACGTAGAATGTAAGTAGTATATATTATGAACATATTGTACTTGTCTGACAACGTTTAGTATATGTATGTATATATTTTACTAGTAACCTATAACACAATCAATATGGTTTAATAAATTAGTTACTGATAGTATACACTGGCAATTAATTACATTTGATTTTATAAAAAAGATTTTTCATATCTAAATAAATATACAATAATAGATAAATTTAAGTTTAGGGCCATAGAAACGGGGAGGGTTTAGGGGTTCAACACCCTCTTACAACACGGAATGTATATACACTTATTATTATGCATGTGTTATTTTTTAAATTAACTATAATATGTAAATATTATAATAACCCCCCTTCCCATAAAAAATTCTTATCTACAGCACTGTGTGAGGTAAAGCCCCTCTGTAGCAGAATTACAAAAATACACCCCAAAAAATATTTACGACTACACCACTGTTGGTAATATTGAGTAACCTAGGACTACCGTGCCGGGAAATTTCAAGAGTTCGACTCATTTATTTGTTAATATGAAATAACTAGGAGGGCTAATTTGGAAGCTGGAAGTGTTAAGCACTCCCCAGTTTCCCCTAGTTGCATCCATTGTTGGGCAGAACTATCGTATTTTTTTTCGATTGGGTTACAGTGGTTAGTTGATTTTTCGCGTTATCAGCATATAATTATTTTGTCATTGACACGAAACTACACACGACGCGCGATATCTCTACGAGATATTGTCTTAACGGTTCGAACGCCACGTCACTCTGGTCAGTTTGACGATTTTCGAAGTCATGAATACTGTTATTTTTCACTAGAGGGTTCATTTTTGTACATCGTGCGAAAAAAAACCCTACGGCTTGCAGTGGCCTTTTTAATCTGATAATTTTTTGACGAATCTTATACTAATTATATTTTTTTGGGACGATCTATCGACATAATATCTAGAACTAAAAATGCGGTAAAAATGTCCCAAAAACTTTAATTTGGGTGGGCCACTGTTGTAAGTGAGAAGTTGGGGAGGTAGGATATAGGTATAGGTAGGATATAGGTCAGAGAATTTAATTTATATCAGTATGCAACGATATGCCATTCCTAAAGAAAAATATTCGGAGCGAAGTTTCCTTTTACTTTCTTTTACTAAATTTTTTCGATTTTCTGCATTTTTTTTTTTTTGGTTTTTCCCAATTATTACGAAAACCGAAAAATGACCTCCTTAATGTACCACCCAGATAAAATGTCTCTTCAGAAAAGGTACTACAATTGATAAGAGTAAGATTTTTGGTAGAAAAGTTGTTCACAGTTAAAAAAAATAAAATAATCACCATTGTAAAATTAATACGCTACGCTCCGAATCTAAAATGTCCTATATAAAATAAAAAAAAAAAAAACAAGTCTTCTAAAAAAGAGAATGAAACACTTTTTCAAACGGACCTAACTATTTTAATGTTTCTTTTATACCAAAATTTGAGACTTTTAGTAAAATATACGTATTTCAGATGATTAGAGAGTACTCTAATACAATACAATTAAAATAGTTACATAAAACACGATCAAAAAAATAAAAGATAAATTAAACGTTCACATACACAAATTAGAAATATAATAACGTTACGGTTGCTATTGATTATTTGAAGTATTTTCTGGTTACAGGATATATTAGAATTCATAGAGGATTCTCCGCACGGAGTCATTTTGTTCACATTCGGTTCAACCGTTTTAATATCTTCGATTCCAGATCACATTAAAATCGTATTTTTAGAAACTTTGTCTCGACTTCCGCAGAGGACGATACTAAAATACGAAGGTGTAATGGATAACAAGCCGCACAATGTAATGATAAAAAAATGGTTACCTCAGCGAGATATACTTGGTATGGCCTTAGAATACTATATAACTATTTGCAATCTAGTGACGTAATTGTAATGATGCAATTACGAATTGGTTTTCTTAAGAGGGGAAGAGGAAGGGGTTGGGTTGCATTAGCATGATTTAGACGGCCAATTTCACCTAAAATCATACCAAGCCCACTTATATTGTTATAGAATTTGTGTGCCGTCGAGGGGTGGAAATTAACTAATCTCCCTTGCAAATACGCCTCTGAATACACCAATGTGTTCAAAAGATGTGGTTATAAGAAGTAGTAATAATAGTTCCACCGTTCTTGGAGAATCCAGAATATAAATTATTATAACTCTACACGAATTCTATCATTTACGGTTAACGATAAGATTTAATTTGACTTATACATATGTAAACTCCTATATTTTATAATATAAACACCAATAGTTGACAATAGTTATTTTATTCGGATTTTAAGTGCATCCAAAAGTCAAGCTTTTTGTCAGTCACGGGGGAATTGCCGGAATGTACGAAGCAGTGGACGCTGGCGTTCCAGTGCTTGGATTTCCAGTGTTTACCGATCAATTCAGGAACATAGACAACTTGGTCGAAGCAGGCATGGCAATTTCTATGGAAATATTGTCCGTTTCCGGAGACTCGTTTTACGAAAATATTGTAGAGCTCGTCGACAACGAAAAGTAAACGAACGTACATGTTTATTGATTTTAATAATATCTCAATAATATTATATTATAGCATTTTGTTTTAGGTACGCGAAAAATGCAAAAATCGCCTCGGAATTGTTCAACGACCGTCCGATGTCGCCGCAACAGTCTGTCGTTTACTGGACGGAATACGTGATTCGCCATAAAGGAGCGCCACATTTAAAATCACAGGCGCTCAATTTGACGTGGTATCAATACTTGTTGTTGGACGTGATTGCCGTCCTATTCGTTTTGATTTTGATTGTTTCTTTTGTACTTTATAGAATATCTAAAAAAATTTTTTACCTCCTCGTAATTAAGCATTCGCGCGTCATTAAAACCAAACACGAATAAAGAAAATACTATTATATATAATGGTAAAATAGTATAATTATACAATATTTTTTTTACATTATAGATTATATGCCTACTGATATAGCTGTAAACACTGGAGTCCGTATAATATTATTGATTTTACTAACACATGTTTATTTTTTATAAAAAATTCATTTTTGGTTTGAAAAAATGATTGACCGTTTCTGTTCGGTACTTTATTTGAAACTTTATACATTTTCAAAAATTGTTTAGAAAAAAAAAAACTGTACTGTAGATATATCGGATAGCGAACATATCGGAAATTAAAAATTTATATATTTACAGTTTCCTACCCACGGTGGTGCGAATTAAGTCAGGATTTTTTTTTTTGAATTGCAGTAAAATTGTTCATTTCATTTATATTGGGCCATTTATTCATTAAATAATATAATATAGCATAATATGTACCTTGTACATTAGGGACGTTGTGTTTAGAGTATAAGTATTTTTCGTTGCTACCGTAAAAAGAGCAATTTGTAATTGAAAAAAAAAAATGTAGATAAGAAGTTTGAATGGTAGTAGAGGGGAAATTTAATGTATATCTGTAAAAAAACATGGTATCAGATAAAACATGGCAAACGAAAAAACGATTCTTAGCGGAGTTCGGTTGATAGTGTGTCATTATTAACAATAAGTATATCATATTATGGTAAAATATTACATAATTACATAGGCATCATATATTATTTCCTTTAATACAAATTATTTAATATTGTACCTATTTTCTAGTTTTTCTTACGTTTTCCCCGTACTCCTGTAACTCCTGAGAAAATCAAAAAATTACCTTTTTAAAGTACCTCTCTAATCCGATTTCATTTCTGAAAATGTGATATACTTGTAAATCGGAGCAAGATTTCTGATAGAAAAGTTGCCCACAGAAAAAAATACGTTTTTGTAAGACTATAAGCTTCATCACTCCACTCAGAATTAAAAATACTCATTTTTTTTTTTTTTGTAGAGACATATAATATTTATGTATCATCATAGCAGTTCGTAATTTTGATTTTTCATTGTACCGTTTTGTCGTTTATCGTATTGGAAAATTAAGGTTTGTCGTTTGTCAGTTAACAAGCAATTTTGATAGATGATGGTTACGAACACTTGCGTCGGAGAAAAAAAATTAGATTTTATCAGCTGACTTGAAAATAAGATGAATAATGCCGATGGCACCACCAAAAGCTTTTGATAATTTACGACCACTTTCAGGAGAAGTGGTGGTAGTGGAAGTAGGGGATAAAAACGTATTATATAACATATATTGTCAGTTTGTCGAAAAACCGTTATTAGATAATCATTTCGTTTCATAAAATATGTTAACATATTAATTAAACTATTCTGAGTGAGGTTTAGCTATATATGTTTTAAAAGGCCGTAATATTTACGATTTTCGTCAAAATTTGATATTTTTACTGTCATAAAAAAAAATTCTACATAGCATATATTTTTTGTTTGTTTTAATCACAAACTAGGGACAACTTAGAACGAACCTCCTATTAAATTTCCATGCATTTCTGTTTGGTCTAATAATTTTATTCATAGAGTATATCTACCGAATAAAAATTACATGAAAATTCGCGAAATTAAAATGTTTATAAATAGCTAAACAATTTTTTGTTTAGCCATTTAGCTGTTTATTTTTTTTGTTTGTCGAATTTTTTTTGAAAATTCAACGTCCAGAAAGGGTAAATATAAGTTTTCTGCATACATTTCAAGTCTTTACGAATATGTTTAATGTTTAATTGAATCACAACAAAAAACGAAATTTAAACAACACATTTGAAACATTTTCCCGTTTTTTCCCAATTATTATGAAAATATCTTCATAAATCAAAAATCAAAAAATGGTCTTCTAAGAGTACCACTGAAATAAGAACAAATAAAATGATTTTTTACAATAATATTATAAATGCTACTTTTATGCGACGACGTATTCAAACGGTACAAATTATTAATGGCAAACATTAAACTTCAACCAAAAACGTTTACAAGGGTTTGGCTATTAAAAAACGTAAACCCTTTGTAATTGCTTAATACAATTACAACATTGAAATATTGAAAAGAAGTCACATATGATTTTTCATTGAAAGTATTATTTATTTGTTTTACATTTACACTTTGTCGCTTATGTAAACGATTTTAAGTTTTTCGTTTCATAAAAAAACACAATATGTTAATTTCGATCAATCTGTTTTCGGTTGTTTTGCTTTCACTATTTTTTGACGAGAAAAACCCATATGTTAAATGAATTAACAGTGGTTATAATATTATAAATTACACATATTTACTATTACTCGTATATTCAAGCATTACAGTACCTATATAATTTGTATGAAAGACACTTATCAACAAATAAATAAAACTAAAATAATATTTACAATCTAAATAACCGAGTTGTAGATGTTGTATTCCTGTTTTATTACATTGTAGACTTTATCTTCTTTTTAAAGTCGTATTACAACGGAGGTAGGTATAAACTATATACCTCTTGTTGCCGTATTCATTACCATTTTAGTAATCTTAACTCCCATCTGTCGTAAGGTGGCTTAAACCTTTGTATTAAGAGAAGTGTAAAATCCTTTCGTTGCCGGGAAAGCTATCCGCGGTAATTAATTTCCTTTCCAAAAGATTCGTTTCATTTCGTTTCGCTTCGCTTTAAAGTTCGTTAATCGGCTTCTTGTTTTGCTGTTCGATATCGAGATTTCCGAAATAACTATATGCAGGTATTCATCTGTTATTTTCAATAATATATTACTGTATACTTACGCGATTTGACTTAGACCTGAAGTTTGGGCTTAATTTGATACATGTATAGCCTTGTAGGTGTCTTTGTAACTACTTAACAAAACTATTTTAAGATTGAATTTTAATTTGGATTACAATTTATATGATTATTTGAACAAAAATCCGGTGTTATAACTTTTAGTGAAATTTAAATGTGCTTAAAGCACGCTGAATCATACATTTATGTTTTGGGAATTTATAGGTACTAACTCTAACTATGTAGGAAAATATTCCAGTCGTTTAAATCGTATTAACATAATCAATTTTCGATTGATTAATTTGGTATCGTTATAAACATTTTTAAACATGGAAATACAAACCAGAAGGAATTTACTGCAATAAAATTTGAGACCACAATTTATGATATTTATTTTAGTACAATTTCAAAAGCAATAACCTTAAATTCTTGAAAATAATATTTTGTTTAACACCAATAAATTTCAACGTATTTCAGTGTAATTATATTAGTTAGAACGTTCGTAATTTATAAAAGAGTTATTAATATTTTTACAAAAAAACTTATCTAGTTATTCATTAGAATGTAATATCGTGTTCTAGTCAACAACTTGTTCATAGACAGAACAAAAATCACTCACAGAAACCATTTCGAATGTTAATAACAGGTTATAAAAGCAATCACACCGGAAAAATCTAGTAGTAATTGAGAAACAAATATTGCACCTCAGTGCAGTTATGATTCAGGGAAAAAATAATCTACTGAAAACAAATAGTGTAACAGATCATAGGTATTTAAACTCGTCTTCTTTTATACAATATTTGATGCATTATTTATACATTTTAATATTTTCATCAGAGACAATAGAAAAAAAAAAACCAAAAATTACATCAAAAAATTGTCTATATTATCATAATTCATAAAATAAACAAAAAAAAACAAATTATAACAGATAAATTTGGAAACGGCGAAGTTCACGAATCCTGGTGGTGATGGTCGTAGTGTTGGGGGTGTTGAGCGTGGTGTTCGTAGTGGACGTGCGCGTTGAAGCCGTTGTGCTTGTCGGCCGTGTACGTCACCTTCCGAATGCGGCCATCTGGCTGGACAAAGCTGTAGCCACCGTGTACGACGTCTTCGTGACGTTTCTCCCATTGGTTTTTCTCGTCCTTTGTGTGCGGATCGTGAACGCCGTACTTGAATTCGTACTTGGGCGGTGACTGTGACGGAGACAAATTCGGTTAAAAAAAACGATGAACAGTTATTATTACGGTTAATTCGTTGCAGGGATGAACTGGTGGATCCCGGGTCACGGTCTTAACGATATTCGAAATTTCTGGGATATAGTAAACTATTCTCCTTAGATATAATATGATCCCCTTAAGTCTTTCGTATACTGAATGGGATAATACGTAATCATTACCGTCCTATAATAAAATTCTACTATCCACCGAATTTCTCGCATAAAAAATAGGCACCTCCTTATTCAAAAACCAATTGTTCTACTAGTGGGGATGATCTGATCGCATCACGAAATCAGGTGCAAAAAAACATGAATATTTTAAACGTACCACATACAATATATGATCGTATTTAAAAAATTCGATTACTTATCAATAAAATGTATGGTGAAATCATATTCCAGCTACTATATTATAATTGAAGAACTCGGTGCAAAAACTAGTTATAAAGAATAGTTTTCGAAATTATTTAGGAAAAAAACAAAACCATTTACATATGTATAGAACTTGGTTTCAATTTGCTCAGAATTTGGATGAACCTGGCATATCTTTATAGATTAATATTTCCGTAACTATAAAACGAACTCGTATTATTTTTGCATCAAATTATGTGGCTTTTATTGTTCTACTCGAAACTATTAAAATGCAATTTTGGACCTGCCTTGTTGGTGCACTGGTCTTTGCGATAGTTATTATCGTATAACGATATTAGCGTAGACAATTATGTAAATAACCGTTTGTACGTACGTAGTAGTCGTGTCCGTGATGTTTGGTGTGATGGAATATTGGATGGTAGTAGGCGAATGAAGTGGCTTGGTGGTCGGCCATTGTCAGTGTCATCTGTGCAGCTAGAACGACCGCAGCGATCTAAAAAAAATAAATGGTCAGAAAATTAACATAATAGTATAGTGATTAAATTTACATAATCTCGCGATAATCTGCGCAATTTTACTCTACGATCGTAACAAGATAATTAGCTTATCATTAAAATATCGAAGGAGTATCACAATAGACCGTATAATATATCAAATAGTTATGGATATCGTACTGAAAAAAAGTTACGTATGTATTCTCTAAATTGCATTTATATTCTAATTATATAAATATTACTTGATGACAAAAGTTTATTCGATTTCATTTGAAAATTCGGAAAATTATAATACGTATAGGTAATAATTTGTTGATATGAATGGTCAAAGATGACGGTTTAATTAAAAGTTTTAAACCCAAATCGATTTGTTTTTTTCTATAGAGGTGCGTTTTATAGAGGTTTTGTCGCCTACACTGTGACCCACCTGTAATAGACTGATCATTTTACAAAATTTATTCGGAATCTTTTAGGATAACTAAAATATAAAATAAAAATAATAAAAATAAAGTATTTTTTTCGCGCACACGGTGACAACTACAGGCACTACAATACTGATGAGTATCGGAGTACCGTAACCGTTATTTATACAAATTTTTGACACTTTTGAAGTGAATACCACCCACGACTTCAAATATTGCAAAATTCGTAAAACACATACCTACACGACGCTGGATACCATAATGTTGTGTTATTCGCGGTTGACGATTTCATGGTCCGTCGGTTAACACAAATAATTATTACAGTCGAGTATACTAGAAAAACCGTTTTGATATACTGACTTTAAAAACGATACCCGCGTTTATGTATTTTTAAAACGAACGTCTTGTAGACTCGCGTGTTCATTTGGAAGTATGTACTCGGATGTACACGAACATCCGAGTACATACGCACGAGTATCCACACTACAATTTTATTATTTGTATCGCGTGATTCATTACGGTCGGTATAACAGACATAATAATATGGCGTCTAGTCGCGAGAATATAATATATGAATGGATATAACATTCGTTTTGGCGTGTATTATTTAACGGAAAAACAAGCGTACCTACCCGACACGACTGTGTACTATCACGAGTATCGGACGCGTATCCTACTAAAATATTATTATAAAAACATATAAACCATTACTACGGCACGCGATCCCTCGTTCGGCAAATTTATCACTTTGCCGGCACTGAAAATGAACAACATTACACTGAATATTATTTTCCTATCAATCTATCAATCGACGGTACCTACCGAAGTTTTAAAGTCCAGGTATTTGTGGGTATTTGTGGAGGGGGGTATCCGGTGATATTACCACCCCCAAACGACGTCGAGTAGAACTTGCACGTTTTAAAACAATATGTTTCAGTATGGACGTACTATTTTCGCGCACGTTTCCGTTCTAATGTGGAAAATATAGCATACGTAAATATAGTATACAATATACAATACACATTATAGAATGTTAAAAAAAATCAAAACTAAAAAACCGGAAATATTTTACACTAAGGGGGTAAGCTAGTGGGAAATTTAAAAGATAGAATATAGATGGTAATTTAATTTATATTTGTACGTTTTGAAAAATCATTGCAAACGAAAAACGATTTTGAGCGATATTCGATTATAGATAATAATTGATAAATTCGAGTTTAACATTATAAAATAGTCACTGTGACTACAAAATAAATTGAAACTATTCATGTTTTAATATATTTTAACACAAATATGAATTTAAAACTCCAATAAAAATACATCATTACATTTTATTCGTATAAAAACATATAAACTCAACACAACAATTTCAAAATAATCGGCTGAATATTTGGAAAATTGTATCACGTATGAAAAGTGTTTATATAAGTAACAAGTTCAACGATTATTTATCGCCATGTCATACCAAAAAACTCATATCGAAAAATATCAAAAACCGTAACGTCGTATAACTGCGTGTTCTCGTTTTCTGAAGTTTCAAAAACTTTCTTGATTATTTAAAATTACTGAAATGAGTATTAAAAAATTTAAATGGTTACCTCAATGCATATACACGACATACATTTTTACCAGGAACTACTTCGAATGTTAATGATAAGAGCAACATTTCCGAACAGAAGAGTTGTTAACAAAAAAAAAAAAAAATAAAAATAAATATTAAATCGCTAGCAACGTTGAAAATCTAAAAAATGTTGACGAATTTGTCATAAATTAAAACAATTCGTATAGCAGTGCTATTGAGAAAATATTACAACTGTAATTGCGTATATTTCCATGTATTACAATTTTCACTCGCAAATATCGCAAAGATTTTCGTTTTATTTATATTAATAAAATTAAATAGTGTCTGTCTGATAGTTTTTTGCGATTTCTATACACGCAGACATCTGCGTGTATTGTATGATTATCTCTGATAACAGAGCTTCTCGAAGGGAGATATTCAAAATTATTCATCCCCTACATTTTAAGGCCTGGAGAATAAACGAAATAAGGTTTCTGGTATTTTGAGTACGAAAATTGAATTTATTTTTTATATGTTATGAATTCATTAACGTAACCTTGATTGCATAGGTGAAAAATCATTTGTTATTAGCTAAGTTGGTTAACATTTGTAAGTGAGAATCATTTTTAATAAAAAATAAATTACCGAACAACAGTTAACTGTGATAGGGACGAGGTGAAAACGGAAAGTGACGGAGAAATCCGTATTATTTTTCGTTCGTTCAGTATGGGTTGTATAGACAAAGCTGTGTAACAATTGTAACTAAACTATTTGGTTAATTTTAACCCGAATAATTTTATGAATTAAAATAAATACAACACTACTATTTGGTCTATTCTAATATTGTAAATCGTTGAAAATGTGAATGGTCGGAATGTACCAATGATAACAAATTAATAGGTGTATAATATTTAGACATTGGTATGGTGTTATCTTGGAATTATTGACATTTTTCTTTTCTGAACGAAGATAGTAACGTGATAGTAATAACTATTATGATGCGTGTGCTTTCATTAATATGATTGTCGTTCATGTGTAAAATCCACGCAACCAATCACGACCTTCACGAGCATTTCTAATTATAGCGCACCTATTATTTATTCATGTAAGCTGATGGACCGTGAATTCGTCCACCGCAAATAACATACAGTACCTAGCGTATAAGTACCTACTTATGTGTTTTATGAATTTTGAAATATTTGAATTCGTGAGGTGGTATTAAAAGTGTCATAAATTAGTATATCAGTATAAATAACGATTACAACTCTCCAGTAATCATCAGTATAGTGTCTGCAGTTGTCGACGTGTGCACCAACAAAATACTTTATTTTCGATCGTCCTACATAAGAACGAATAAATTTCATAAAATGGTCAGCTTATTGCAGGTGAGTCACAGTAGGAAATATACCTAAAATCATAACACGACTATAAACAAAAAGAATCGTTCATCGTTTTGTTGCTAAATTGTTGTCAAAAGTATTATACTGTTTAAAGTTTTATAACAAATTCAAATAAACTTTTGATATCAATTAATATTTATTAGATTGAAATTTAGAGTAGACATGGATGTACGTAAACTTTTTTTTTTTTTCTTAATACTATGTCTATAACTACGATTTACCAACAAACGTCTTGATATTACAATAATTGCTTAATTAACGTGTTAATGCGAGATTATGTAAATTTAATCATTACACGACCGTTTTTTAGATCGCTGTGATCGTTTTGGGCGCGCTCACGACACTGACAACGGCCGACCACCAAGCCACCTCGTTCGCCTACTACCATCCAATATTCCATCACACCAAACATCACGGACACGAATATTATGTGCGTACAAACGGTTTTTTCATAAAATTTAACGCTAATATTATCGTTTCGCAATAATTGTACAATATGGTACTTGGCAGTCGATTACTGCTTTGGGAACGGTGTGGAGTTTTTTTTTTTTCTACGAAAAAATTACAGTAAATCATCAATAACTGATCTCATGGCAACCCAAACCCAGAAAAATCAGGCGTAACAATTAGGCTACAGAACTAATCCTATTAGATATTCATGTACTTAATTTTTTTCGTTAGTTTAGCGAACTCGTAGATCATCCGTTCACACAGCTGTTGGTGACTGTGTCCCTGTGAATATTATGACCAAACGTTTTATTGATTATTGATTCGTAATCGCCGTTCAAACGTATATATATATATATATTATATATAAATGTATTATTACGGGGTGCGTTTTCAATTGTCTCGTTTTATTTCATTTTGATGCTGCATTATAATATTATTGTGTAAATCATTTACCCGAATTCGGGCCGCAATTGAAAGACTTGGGTTTTGAATAAGCTTAATTGTATTATAGGACGGTAATAATTAGGTATTATCCTATTCGGTACACAAAAGGTTTAAGAGGATAATTTTTTCGAAGGGGTATCATTTATTATACTATGCCAGAAATTTCGAATACCGTTAAGACCGTGACCCGGGATCCACCGAAAGTTCATCCCTGCAACGAACTAATCGTAATACTATCTGTTCATCGTTTTTTTTTTTTTTTTTAACCGAATTTGTTTCCGTCACAGTCGCCGCCGAAGTACGAATTCAAATACGGTGTCCACGATCCGCACACAAAGGACGAGAAAAACCAGTGGGAGGAACGGCACGAAGACGTCGTGCACGGCGGCTACAGTTTCGTCCAGCCAGACGGCCGCATTCGAAAGGTGACGTACACGGCCGACAAGCACAACGGTTTCAACGCGCACGTCCACTACGAACACCACGCTCAACACCCCCAACACTACGGCCACCATCACCACCAGGATTCGTGACTTTTCGCATCGCGACCGACTTCTACGCTTGAATTGTATAACCGTTATAATTTGTTCACATGATGTGTTAATAATAAAGATATTTACGTTATTGTAACTTTTTAGTTTTTATTTTCTGTCACTTATATCGCCGTTCGACAGAGATATCAAATGCTTAAATAACGCAATAATTTTAATAGAAAATTTATAGATAGTAAGACGAGTTTGAATACCCACTAATATTTAATTTTGAATTGTATTAAATATAAATGAAAAACCATTCCGGATGGAGGTCGGTTAAACATTTATTGATGTATCTTATTTAAATTTTAAAGTAATTTTAAATGAATTATTTTATTGTTTTTAACGAATTTAATCTTAAATGTGAACTTAAATCGTTTATTTTTTTAGAATGCGGAATTACGTTCAAATTTTCTTTATCACCACGTACAATTGATGGTAAACAATTTTCCATTTTTTTTTTTTATGGACCCAAAATTTACTTTCTATTAAAATATACATGCAACATGCGAAATGGATTAATTTTTAATATTTTTGTTAAAAATTGAATTTTAAACGCTTATATATAAATATAACAGTGTTACGATCTGTTTTTTTGCTACCTGTACACAAATTTTTGACCAGAGAACTCATTCTGATTTTCAACATCAAGAAAATTTTTCTGGGAATAAATTTCGTATTGTTTGTACGTTAGAGAGCTTAATATTTTGATTTTCTGTGCATTTTCGTTAATGTGGCTGAGAACTAGAAAATATGTCGAAAAAACGGAAATATTTACGCACAACAATATTTCTGTGAATTTCGATTTATATTTTTTTTTTATAATTCAGTAATAAATAATCATAGAGACCTGAATTTCGATTGCCGAGTACTTGTATTTGAACCTTATAGATGCGGTTATATAATATTTCAGCACTATTTAAGTTATTAAAAGCCATTTGAAATTGTCTAGCTATTTTCAGTTAGCCATACGGAGATGAGAATTATTTGACTTTAAGGTATTATTTAAAGTAGTATTTAAGATAAAATTTGATTAATATCATTTTTTTAATTTTTTTTTTATTTTTTAGTTTTTAATTTATCTGAAGTGTAATTTATTAAATATATTGATAGAAAAAAATGTATACCTATTAATAGTTGTATTTGATTTTTTAATATGTTAGAATAAATCGTAAAACAGGTAGAGAACAGGGTAGCCGAGTTTAATCCGTTTTTTTGACTTTATCATAATGATATAATATGTAATATAATAATATATAGATCAAGAATGGGAAGCCTAGGATATTATGAAATATATAGACGTTAGAATATATTCGGTTTTGGTATGCGCATTCGGTTGGAAATATTGTGTCCGAATACACGCGTGCATTATTAATTACTATTGTTCTATTCTGTGTGACTGTACGCCGAAATAATATAATCTATGGATTACGTATGTTAAAAGCCTTCAATATATCATTTTCGAATATTCTTGTATCTCTGTTTTATACTTTCTCAAAAATATGATAGGTAGGTATGCATTGCGTTTGTTTTATTAGAGTGCAGTGGGACAAGTGCTTCAATGGATTAAATGCTTAAACCACATATCATTTATGATATTTTCTGTTAAAAAAATTGTTCTAAAGATAGAAAACCAACTGTAAAAATCTGTCCTAAGATTTAGGGGACGAAGGCAGCCACTATTATAGATGGTAAGTTGGGAAGGTAGGATACAGAAGGGAATTTAATGTACATCAGTAAGCAACGATAAACCATTGTTAACAAAAAAATGATGCTGAGCGGATAATTCAGTTAATAGTGATACTTCGTCAAGAATATATATATATCATATTATGGTAAAATAATTAAAAAGGCATTATATATTTATTTTAATATAATATTTGTTTAATATTTTACCTATTTTTCCGTTTTAAGCATATTACTGTATTACAATTCTTAATAATAAATATCAACAACACAAATTAAAAATATAATTATAAATAAATAAATGAACAGGTTTTAATTTAAAAAATGTTTTTTTCCGAGAATTTAAATCACTGAACTTCCCAATTAAACTCTAAAAAATCTAGTTTGTTTGTTATGTCCTTTTCCGCGGACGGTCCCGAACAAGTGAATTTCATTTTTCTCAGTAAAGAAGTTCTTCTGAGTTTTCAATCAATTCTAATTTTGAATTTGGCCTTATCGCTAAAAAATTTGAAATTAGTAAGGTTAAGTAAAGTCGTAATGTATGTATTTGGAAAAAGTCAGATTATTTTCATGAATATATAACAAGATATTTTGAGGGGAATTCGGTGGTAATTTTTTTGTACTTTGTAAAACTTGAAAAAAGCACAATCTCTTATTTTATGGTAAATTCATCAATATTGTTTTTAAATGTAATAATAAAGATATCAGTAGAAACACAGATAACAATTTTGAGTCCAAAAATATTACTAACATTATCACAAATACCTACATACAAGTAAATAGGTATTTAAATTTTACCCCTGAAAACAACTTGCCATACTTATGTATTTTTAGATACAATTATTATTATAATTTGATATTAAAAACCATCATTTACTTACTTAAGGTATAATACAAGAGAGGGGGAGGCTAAAGTTCTAAGAAATATTTCGTATTATAAATTACTAAATAAAATGATAATATAAAACAATATTTATTATTTTGTCATTAATAACAGTATTTTTTTTCCATTTAAAAACGTCAGTGCATTAAATACATAAAGTAATTATAATAAAATGTTATTCATAATCCTAATTTTCTTGATTTTATAGATTCGTGAAGTATTTTTTCTTTATTTAAATCTTTTAGAATGTAAAAAAGGATCGTTCATAAATGGCTGTGATAACAGGCTGTATTAATTTTGTTCGTTTTAACAAAAAGTGTATATTTTTTTACACATAATTTACATTATGCAGATTCGACACCTATACATTTGATGGTGTAACTGGTGTGAGTAATGTATTTCTTATCAAAAATGTAGTAATAAATGTAAATTGTATAGAAAAAAAAGTGTATACCTTTTGTTAAAACGAACAAAGCTACAATATAACAATACTATAATATAGTTTTAAAAATTTATCAATAGCATTTTCTACAGATAAATTTTACCGATCTATAATGCTACAAAAAAATATATTGTTTTTTAATTTGAGCAAAATCTACGGTAGATAAGTTTTTCGTGGACACTATCGAAAACATTAGACCTCTATACGATTATTATTTTTATTGGTTCTAACTAAATTATTGCAATTAAGGTATGAATACTATTGTGATCATTAAGTGCATTATGTGCAATTTTCCACACCACCTTGGCTATCGGCAAACGCTAATGAAATTATCACGAGTACTTGGCGTTTTTCGATAAGCATTTGAGGTATTGCACCAAGCGCGTTTTTTTTTAAGTGGTTTCCCCGTGTAGGCCTAATCCACTGCATCGACTATTTCACTGCTAACTATTACTATGTGACTTTTAAGAGTTATACCCACATCTACCGTCCGAGTCTATGCAAATATGGACAATTTATGTTACTAACTAAGAACATAAGTTGTGGTGTCTAGAGTGAAATTAGAATTAGACATAACACAAATAACATCATTTGAAAGAGAGAATATTTTTGAGCATTGTTTTTACTAAAATATTGACATACCTATTTAAAAGTTATGCCCATATTAGTTGCGTTTTTATTTCTATAAAACATTTTTTTTTGAAGGAAGCTACTCGCACAGCCTTAAGAAATATTCGCCTATTTGCGTTAAAACTCGAATTTCAATCTAAACGCCATAATATTTACGTTATAAACAACGTAGTTTTGTTATGTTGCTCGTCAGTTGGACTGAGAAAGTAGATGTGGGTTCTGACGTTCTCTTAATATAGACCTCATATGACTAAATATAGCTGACTTAATATTTATATTGATTTTGACACTAAAGGATGCCCACAGGTGAAAATTCAGAGGAACTTTGATTTTCAATAAATAATACATTTTTTTTTTCTCTCTGCTGCCTTTTCCTGTGGGTACCCATGTCGACACTTATATGCATTATGCCAATAAACTATGCTAAACTGCGTATATTTAGTTAACCTATCTTAACTTTAAATCTATAATATTATACTTTAAAGAATACGATCACCAAATCCAGATTTTTGATTCATATAGTCGTCTAGGGCAGCCAACAACTTTACTTTGAATGGTTCACGTCTAAATAAATAACGAAAAAAATGATTTATGAAAAGGTAAAACTTTATAACAATGAAAAAACTCAATAGACTATTAAAAACTATTAAATCGAAAGATTATAATTTATAATAAACACTGAAGAATAAAAATTGGAATTTGAAAACAACAAACGAATACTTTTTAGTGTAAAATAAAAAAATAAAAAACATTTAAAAATTAACTTATTTATATCTATTGGAAACGACAATAAATACAATTTATAATGTTGTCAATATTGGCCAACGCACAGTTTCAAGATACTTATTATTATTCAAATAAATTACAAATAAATAAATATCGTTAATTAAGTAATCATTAGGTTTCTGGTACTTAAATGTCTTTTCGTGATGATACCGCTACAGGAAGTCAATGAAGTAAGATTCCTTAATTAACTTCGTATTCAATTTTTGTAAAATTCGGATGTCGAACGTTTAAAAATGCATTTTCTTTGCCATTTAGCTGTCTCGCTTAGATTTGTGCGAGCACAGTATTAATCGGTCCAGTGGTTTCTGAAATTTTCCGTTCCCAAATAAACGAAATTTCATATTTTTATTTTATCATAACTATTTTATTATCAATAACCTAATGCCAATCCTATACTCTATATATATATAAATAAACAAATATTATATTTTCATAAAAGAAATTCTTGTGTAATTCACCCTATAGGTATCAGTATGGGTTGAAAAACGAAACCATAAATCCTCCCCGAGTCTCGAAGAATATGGCGTGTACAAAATGGTTCGGTAGTTTTTGAGTTTATAGATCAGGAACGAAAACATTAATTTCTATATAGTAGATATA